GTTTATGACGCAAAGATGGGGCGTGAGAGGCTGCATCGTTTCGAGGGCTGGGCGTCGCATTAACTCAGACGCCACTACCTCGTTCTCGGCAGCGTCGACAGACATCACATGTGTAACTTTCCTGATGAGTTTCCGAATCTGAGGGTTGTACGTGGATGCATCGGGCGAACAAGCGCACAAAGTGGAGAACCGCGTAATCGCACGAGTGGTCAAGCTTAGCATGCCCGCTCCGCTGCTGGTTTTGACCGGAAGCCAAGCCATCAGTCCAGACCGGCTCCGCAACTTGTCGTCTACTGCCGAAAACCTCAGTGCCATTTTCCCTTTTCGAACATCTCGCATGAGGCTCATCGTTCGTATGGGCGATGAAAGCCGCCACCGTCAACAGGTGCTGCGTCTCCAAGGGCCCCGAATCCCAAGTCTCGGATACCCCACCGCGTGACGTTCGAGGCGCCCCGCGGACCTTTGGGGAGGCCCAAGACACCGCCTGAGAGGCCCTAAGAAGAGCGCTCCGACAACGCCTCGCGAGCGCCCCAAAGCCTTGCAACGGATTTCGACACTTCCGTCGAAAGCCGTTGCAGACCCCTGGCCGCCCAAGACAGGCCCAAGACACCGCCTGAGAGGCCCCAAGAGCTCCCCGACAGCGCCCCAAGAGCGCCGAAGCCTTGCAACGGATTTCGACACTTCCGTCGAAAGCCGTTGCAGACCCCTGGCCGCCCAAGACAGGCCCAAGACACCGCCTGAGAGGCCCCAAGAAGAGCGCTCCGACAGCGCCTCGCGAGCGCCCCAAAGCCTTGCAACGGATTTCGACAATTCCGTCGAAAGCCGTTGCAGACCCCTGGCCGCCCAAGACAGGCCCAAGACACCGCCTGAGAGGCCCTAAGAAGAGCGCTCCGACAACGCCTCGCGAGCGCCCCAAAGCCTTGCAACGGATTTCGACAATTCCGTCGAAAGCCGTTGCAGACCCCTGGCCGCCCAAGACAGGCCCAAGACACGGCCTGAGAGGCCCAAGAGCGCCCCCGCAGCATCCCAAGGAGCGTCCCAAAAGCCTTGCAACGGATTTCGACAATTCCGCCGAAAGCCGTTGCAGACCCCCACGCAGGTACCTAAGAGGCCCCCAAGAGGTTTCCCAAGACCCCCAACATACATCTCACGGTGACGGGTTGGGCCGAAGGCCTGAAGATAAATTTGTGATCTATTCGTTTCATTCCGTCTGCAAGGCACATGATCATCTGGCGCATTTTTTTTCCTCGGGCAATGCTCTCCAAGCCGCGGTCGCTTGCGGCTGTATGATGATTGAGGACGTGTTTCAACAACGTCTTGAAATCCTCAATGCTTGGCGCTGAAATGTCCTGCCCTGCACATTTGGCGAGATGAAAGGCACTCTCCCCATGCCGCTTCACATTGCCACGCTTGCAAGAAATCTGCTGATCGCAGGGGCTACACTTCAAAACATAGCGCCCCTCAACGAAATTACATGTAACCCATGGGAACTCTAGCTTCAGCTGTTTCGCCCACCAGACATGACGCCTGGTGCGTCGGGCTGGGCCATCGACGTCCTGAGGTGCACTCTTCATACAATGCTCACCAACAAATATGTTGAGCGAAGGTGACAACGGAGGAGGAGGGGGAGGAGGAGAGTGCCTCGTGGGTGCCTCGCGGGGCCTCTTGGGGGCCTCTTGGGGCTGGGCTGTAGGGGGCCTCTTGGGCCGTCTTGGGGCCCCTACTGGGCCGTCTTGGAGGCCCCGTGGCGGCGTCTTGGGCCATCTTGAAGCGATCCTATGGGGTCCTCTAATCTTGGGCCTAACGAGTTATTGCTGACCCTGTTCAGCGACCAGTCTCGCATCACACAGCTTCCAGGGCGCACCATTGCTGTGATCATTTTCGCTGGGGCGCAATCGCCCCTCTTCTCTGCACCCCACGGCCCCCAAGAGACTTCAGAATTGCATCCAAGAGACTTCCCAAGAGACCCTCCAGACATACAAGGTGCCTCTGACCCGCAGCCCAGGCACGGCGGCGGGATGGGCCGAATGCCGCCACAAACACCCCCGACCATCATCACCTCTTCAGGGTCAGACCTCGAAGGGGGCGCTTGCGCCAACGTGACGACGAGGGGTGGGGGACGCGCCGTTGGCTTTTTCGGGGGCTTCCGGGGAGCCTCTGGGTCCGGGGATTTCCGGAGGCCTCGAGAGGGGCGGAGAGAACGGCCAGAGAGCGACGCCCGGAGCCGCCAGTCGCCAGGGGGCGGCGGCGGGCAGGGGGGCGGAAGTGGAGACGAGGAGGGGCAGGGGTGAGAGAGGCAAGAAGGGAGGGGAGAAGGGAGGGGAGGAGGGATGGACGGAGGAGTGAGGATGGGAGGAAACATTACCCCAATGCGACCCTACCTAGAAGTTGGAGCCCCTAGGAAAACAGCATTAGTTGCTATGCTATGCTATGCCATGCTATGCTGCGCTTTGCTATGATATGCTGTGTTATGCTATGTTATGATATGCTATGACATGCTATGCTAAGCTATGATATGTCATGCTGCGCTGTGCTATGTTAAACTATGATATGCTATGGTATGCGATGATAAGCTGCGCTATAATATGATTGATATGCTATGCTATGCTATGCAGCGCTATACTATGCTATGCCTGGCTATTATTGGCTATGTTCTGCGATGCTATGCTAATGCAGTGCTGCGCTATGCTAAGCTAAGCTAAGCTAAGCTAAGCTAACCCTCTAGGCAGAGCCTAGGTAGGGAATTACACCCATGCTAATGGCTGTGCCTTTCCTTTGCTTTGCTTTTGCTTTGCTTTGCTTTGCGTTGCCTGTGCTTTGCTTTGCTGTCGCTGCTGTTGCTTTGCCTTTGCTTTGCTGCTATGCTATGCTATGCTATGTTATGCCATGCTGCGCGGTGCTATGCTGTGCTGTGATGTGCTGCGCTATGCTATGCTATGCTATGCTGCGCTAGGCTGTGCTATGCTGGGCTTTGCTATGATATGCTGCGCTGCGCTGTGCTGTGCTACGCTCTGCTATGCTATGATGTGCTCTGCTATGCTAAAGCTCGGCGAAGCTAAGATGAAGGTAAGCTAAGCTAAGATAAAACTGAGCTAATATTAAGCTACACTGAGCTAATATTCAGCTAAGCTAAGCTAGGATGCAATACGCTAAGCTAAGATGAGATGAGCAACGCGAAGCTAAGGGAACGTCATTGGGGGAACCGCGGGGCGGATCCTGGGGGAACCGCCCGGGGCGAGGTGCACTGCCCAGCCCCTTTAAGACACAGGGTAAGAACCCGTCTAGGCAGAGCCTGGGTAGGGAAAAAAGAAGAGGGAATGGGAATATTGATGGGAAGTTGTCGTGTTTTTTGTAGCAACTGCAGCAGCACCCATTGCTTCATCCATTGCTGAAGCTCTGGCTTTGAAAAGGTGGTGCTTGCCATGGCGAAGGTCGCGAAGCAGAATGCGTAGCAGCATTCTTATGGCAAACCGGACAGCTTAGATCGGCAACACAGTCTGTGTTCTAGGTAGGATTCGTGAAAGAAAAACACTAGCCTGCTCAGACTCAGAACATGCGCCCATCATGGGTCTCCCAAGAGAGGTCACCTATGGGCGTGATGTACGGGAAGCTGCCCTCCAACACGCGGCTGATCACCCGCTCGTAGTAGGGGTTCTTCGGCTCTCCGTCGCAGGCAAACATGAGAGCAGCCCTGTACGCGCCCCTCCTGGACCAGTAGCCGCACCGCATGCACATCACGAAGTCACCGTGGTGTCGCGACTGGACCATGACGTGACTCACATGGATATAAAAGACTGCAGAATTTTGCACCCGTGCAGTCACATATGGATTGCTCATTCCATCACACACCGAAACAAGCTCACCATCACACATGACGAATCTGTAGGGCTGAGGCTGCCGATCTGACTGGGCCGCGTCCACGTCGCCGGTGTGCGGCGCTCCCTTGTCCGATGCATGGTAAAACGTGGGCTGGGCCATGGTGGCCAAGAAAGTAGTCGCCGAGAAAATGATGGGGCCAAAACGGCAACGGTCATCTTGATGATGCTGCTGCTGATGATGATGATGGTTACCATAGTAATGAAGATGGTGATGGTGTTGCCGGTTATGATGTTGATGGACATGATGATGGTGGTGATGACGATTGTGATGTTGACGATGGCGGTGATGTTGATGACGACGGGAATGATTGTGTTCGTACGATGATGATGATGATGATGATGGTGGTGGTGATGATGATGATGGTTATCATGGTGATGAAGATGGTGAGGATGATGCGTTTTCTGATGTTGCTGAGCATCATGGCGGCGGCGATGACGATGATTATGATGTTGACGATGAGGCAACGGTGATGATGATGACGATGACGGTTACCATAATAATGAAGATGATGATGGCGATGACGCCGACAATAGTTGGGACGATGCGGACGCATTGACTGTTTGCCCGCAAAGGGTAGAACGTGCAGCCACGAGACCCGAAACAGCACACCGGCCAGGAGGGCCCTCACGGGCCCAGGAGCAGGCCCGCAAGGGCCACGGCCAGAAGACCCGACCCCTGGGAACAGCAAGCTGTTTAGGGGCGTTTTACCAGACAGTCAGCTCGAGCTCTGCGTCGAACGATAGTGAACATACCAGAGCGGCGAAGTTTTCACGAGTTGGAGACGGATCACCCATGCACGAACACAGAAAGAGGGATGTAGGCTGGCGCGGCCAGCTCAAGGAACAGCTCTCGTTGCCCGGAACGTGGTGACCAGAGATATCACTTGAGGAGGAGAGGAGGGTTTTTGTTGGGGGATGTATTGGAGTTCTCTTGAAGCTCAAAAGCTGGAAGAAACCAGCGAACACCTATATGAAAGAAGCAAAACTTACATTGCAACATTGTAACCGTAATCGTAACATCTTAAGCTGCAACTTAGACTCGCCAGAAAGCGCCGAGGCGTTCGCTGAGAATCGTAATATCTTTTGCACCCAAACTTGCAATGCACCGAGCACTTCTCAAGTATGCACCGAGCCCTTTTGGCCAAATCGGAGCAGGCCTCCACTGGGCGCGATAAATCAGCTCCCCTGGCTCCCGCTAAGAAGGACACAGTGAATGACAGCCTCGGCGGCGCCTGCAATGGCGCCGACGTCAGCGGCGGTTCGAGCGCAGATTGGCCGCCCGCGGGGAGCGGGGCGCCGCGCCTCCCGCCAGCGACCGTCGGAGCCGCGCGGGCGATCCTCGTCGCCGGGCAGTTCGAGCCGAGCGACGTGCTGGACGAGGACGAGGCCGTGGATGCGGAAGGGGTCAGCGCGATCCCAGCCCTGCCCCAAGCGGTCGGCGCGAGGCGCGTCGACGACGACGCCCTCGGCGGCGCCCGCGCGAGCGAGGACGTGCCCGGCGCGGGCGACGCGCGGGCCCCCCTCGGCACCCAGCACCAGCACCACGAGCCGAGCGATGTGCAGGACGCGCGGCGACATGTCAAAGACTTGGCCACGCGCTGCTCTCGACCCACAGATGCAGGAGCGAGAGCATTGGAGATGCTCCGCAATGGAGTGGACCCAACCAGCAAGAAGGAGGTTGGAGTGCCATTCCCCGTGCACTGAGTTTTCCTGTATGCAGGCTATCTTGCGCTGAGGGATAGACTTGTCCGAAGCTCCAGAGGCTCCAGAGGGGCGCTCGGGCGCGAGCCTTGTCGCTGGCGGTGGCACGGCGGCGAGCCCCGCCAAACCAGCGTCGGTCAGGCGGCGGCGAGGGCGCGGCCGTCGTCCCAGGCTGGATGGACCGGCGGCGTCGGCCGCCGTGCTTGCGATCGCACGGGCACCTGGGGCGACGGAGGCAGCCAAGACCGCCACGTGCACTTCATGGAGGACGGCAGCGAGGCGGGGGAGGGCCGGGACCCGCGGCGCTGCCTTCGTCCTCGCGGGTCGGGTGCGGTCGGCGCCCGAGGCGGTTCCCCCGCCCCTTGCCTTTGGCGCGCAGTTGTGGCAGTGGGGTCTCGAGGAGATCGGGCGGGATGGCGGCCCGAAGGCTCCCAGCGCCCGCCAGCCGACCACGGCGGTGAAGGAGGCAGAGAGCGAGAGGGACTCGGCCGATGCGAACGAGTACGAGCTGCACGACGGGCCCCAGCAGCAAGTCCCGGCACAGCAGCTCGTCGTGACTATGAACGGCGGTGGCCCCCCGCCGCTCCCGAGCGGGAGGAGCCGATGAAGACCACCTTCGATGATTACGGCGATGATCAGCAGAGCGGCGTCGCGCGAGACGGCCTGCAGGACTCCGACGTTGGGCACGACGCAGTCCAGGAGTCGGCGCGGCGCACCGTCTCCGTCGATGTTGGGGTTCGCCATGGCGCTCACGACGCCGAGCCCCACGGCGACCACCAGCAGCGCGGCCCCGAGCAGCCAGGGGCACAGTCCAACGAGCACTCGCAGCACGAGGAGGATGAGCAGGACGGGCAGGAGCAGGAGGGGTTCCAGCGCGGCCCGCACTCCCGTGCCCCACCGGCTGCGGCGCGGGACGGGCGCCATCAGCCCGACTCGGCTCGGGCCTTACAGCGCGACCAGGACCTGGCAGAGAGCGAAGAGCGCAACGCCGAGCGAGGGCCCTTACTCGATCGCCTTAGGAGGGCGTGGGCCGCGACCGTCGCCTCGGAGGGCGTCGAGGGCGACGGGGCTCGTCAGCGCCAGCAGGTCGGGCCCGGCGTGCTTGCGCTCCCTCGTGCGGCGCGCAGCCTTGGCGCTGGGCCTAACAGCAGCCGCAGAGGCCTCGGGGGAGGCACGCCGCATGGCCTTCGACTCGGAGGTGGCGGTGCTGAGGGCACAGGCGGCGGCGGCGGGCTTGGCGACGCCGCGCGCAGCGCTGGCAGCGCGGATGCGCGCGGCTGTCCAGCCCCGCAGGCGGCACAGCTGAGTCCTGCCACCGCCTCCAGAAACTTCGGTGGCGTGCCTGTGTGCGGCTGTTGCTTGCAGTTTCAATGCATGGCCTGTGCAAACCCGCCTTTCCGTTGATGAGAACCGCGGGAGTAGGTGGCCCTGCTGCCGACGCCCAGGATCGACTCCGCACGGCAGTAGAGCAACGAAGCTGATCGGTAGGCCAGGGCCTCGTGTGCCATGTTGCTCTGCTGTATTCCATATCGCCAGCGCTCGGCGCTGGATTCTTGCATGCGCTCCGCAGCTGCGGAAGAGCCCTGGTGTTTCGCCTGCTCGCATGCTCTGTTCAATGTAGCTCCTGGTCGACGGTCGCTTAGTCGCTTTCGAGGGTGGAGGGAAACCGTGGCGCAGGCTGCACCCTGCGGGCCTCGGCGCACGCTTGTGTTCATTCCCTCCTGGCCCTCTGGGGGTCGTTGTCGCCTGCGCTGGCGCTTCGCTCTCGGGGCCTCTCGTCCTGCGAGAGCGGCGCCCCCAAAGTGGCTTCCGAGAGTGTGGGCGGGGGGGCCGAGGCGCAGGCCGTGCCCGCCTCGGGCTCGGCACACGACAGGATTCACTCCCTCCTGCCCCTCGTGGGCTCGTTGTCGATTGGCGGTGCGCGCTCTGCGCGCCGCGTACCAGCGCGGACGGCTTTCGACGCACGGGCGCGTTCTGTGTGCGCAGTCAGGTCTGAGCTGATTTTCAAGCAGCCACGGGCGCGCAAGTGTGCGATGGCACCCGCCAGCCCGTCAGAGTTCTGATGTGGAGGGCGAACCGTGAGCGTAGGGCGACCCGCGCCCAGGATGGATCTCCGCAGGCCTGAGGAGCAACAGCGTCGCGCGTGGTGGGGCCCGGTGCCAAAGACACCGTTGCTTCTCAGGCGCGGCGCGCAGCTTAGCTGCGCACCAGCTCGCTAGACCGTGCAGTCGAGGCCTGCGCTTGCTGCCGAGCGTGCTGACTCGCTCTGACTGGTGCGATCGGTCGATCGTTTGCCTCGGCGGAGGCGGTTGATTGCTCTTGGCACTCAGGCGAATCTGCGAGCGTGCGCCGAGGCGCGCGAGACCGAGCGTTGCCTCCGCATGGCCACAGGGAAACGCCTCGGTCCGAGGGGCAGTACGAGCTTAGAGCTTCTGACCTCTTTAGGTGCGTGGATCAGCATCGTGAACATCAGCATTATCAGCATCAGCATCGGCGTCCTCATCCTCATCCTCGTCCTCCTGCTCCCCCTCCTCCCCTCCCTCCCCCTCCTCCGCCCTCCTCCCACTTCCATCCTCGCTCCTCCCTCCTCCCTTGCCCCTCCTCTTCCCTCCTCATCCTCCCTCTTCCCTCCTCTCTCCTCCCCCTCCTCCTCCTCCTCCTCCTCCTCCTCCTCCTCTCCTCCTCCTCCTCCTCCTCTTCTTCTTTCTCCTCCTCCTCCCCCATTCCCCCATCCCCCTCCTTCGTCCCTTTTTATCCTCCCTTCTCCCCCCTCCTTTCTCTTTCCTCCTCCCGCCTCCCTTTTTCCCTCCTCCCCCCTCCTCCTTCCTCCTCCTCCTCCTTTTCCTCCTCCTCCTCCTCCTCCCTCTCCTCCTCCTCTTCTTCCCTGTCCTCCCTGTCCTCCTCCTCCTTTTCCTCTTTCGTTTTTTTTCCTTGTGTTCCTCCTGATCCTCCTGTTCCTCCTTTTCCTCCTCCCCCTGCTCCTCCTCCTCCTCCTCCTCCTCCTCCTCCTCCTCCTCCTCCTCCTCCTCCTCCTCCTCCTCCTCCTCCTCCTCCTCCTCCTCCCCCTCCTCTTCTTCCTCTTCCTTTTCCTCCCCCTCCTCCTCCCCCTGCCCCTCCTCCTCCTCCCCCCCCTCCCCCCCCCTCCCCGCTCCTCCTCCTCCTCCTCCTCCTCCTCCTCCTCCTCCTCCTCCTCCTCCTCCTCCTCCTCCTCTTCCTCCTCCCTCCTCCTCTATCCGCCTCCTCCCTTCCGCCCCCGCTTCCGCCGAGAGGAGAGGAGGCGCGGCATCCGCGTCAGCTGCCGGCTACCCGGGGGCGACGCGGTCGTCGTGGCGCGCCCCGCCGCCTCCGGTCGTGCTGCCCCCCCATGTGGGGGAGGCCGCCATGTTCAAAGGGGGATGATGGGCTGGGTGGCGTCACCGCATCCCTGAGATCCTGGCGACGCGATTTTTTCGAGCGGGGCGTTTTCGCTAATATATGGGCCCCGGACCCTCACAGATCGATCCGGCTCGAAAAATGAGGCGGAAAGATGGTGTCGACGGCTCCGGGCGTGATTTCTCACGATGTTTCAATTTTTCGGGACGTCGGATCTCAGGTGTGAGCGACACAGCTAAACGGGTTCGACTGCAGCGACAGTGGCGCGTAAGCTTCTCGAGTAGGGTCGCGCGTTGGCGCCCTCGCTTCCAGCGTAGCGTGCCGCGTTGGCGGCACGCGTAAGCCACCGCGTAAGGCCGCTACGTGATCTTGCGGGTCCCGGCCGAAGGCGCCGATAGGGCGGCGGAAGCTGGCGGGAATAAAACTGGGCCACCTTCGGCGGCGGAAGGCAGCGAGAGGACGGTGGAACCCGGCGGAACTAGAGTTAATCTCCCAGGGGATTACAATGTTTGGGGGGTTCAGGGCTCCCCGAATCCGCCATGTCAGGTAGGCCTCGAATGAGGAAAGGTCGCTCCAGGGCGTTCCCGAACGATCTCAGAGCCTTTCGGTTCGCTCAGCTGGAGCCGCGGCGCCCGAGACATCCTCCAGACCCGTCGGCTGTCAGAGATTCCCGAGTCATCCTCTTCCGAGTTTGTCGCCATTTTGCCCTCGCCTTCAGGTGCAGTCCTTGCTGGCCCTTGCTACACCGCGTGCGTCGAACTGAAGGGCTTGGATGAACATGCACACGTGAGCGGCAACAGTCTCTGTCGCGGCGAGATCTATAGGGCATCGGACGGGGTTAGGACGAGGAGAAATCCGTTCCAGAGCGTCCTGGAACACTCCCAGCGCGTTCAGGAGCGCTCTGAGAAGGCCGCGGCGCCCGAGACATCCTCCAGAGCCGCCGGATCTCAGAGATTCGCGATTTATCCTCACACGATTTTGTCATCGTCCTGGCTTCGTCTCAGGGCACAGCGCATTCGAACTAGAACAGGCCGCGGACTGGTTAATTGTGCACCTGTGCAGTGCAATGAAAACGCGGAGGCAGGCAACGGAGGCAGGCAGGCACGCGTTCCCAGATCCCCCGCGTCGGTGCCTGCGTTCGCGCCGTGGCTCCCCAGAGGTCCCCCACACGACAAATCACGACGAGAAGATGTTAGCCATCTTCGGCCTCTGGGGGCCCCTGGAAAGTCAAGAAACGACTCGGGATGAACAGCCGGCTTTGGGAAAAGGGCCGGGGCTTAGGGGACCGCGCTTTTTTACACGCGGGTCGCTGAGAGCAGGTGTTGCTTGATTCCCAGGCCCCACACTGCTCGAAGCGTCTTCGCACTTCTAGAATCGATCTGCTCCTGCTGTGTGCTGTTATTCTCTGGCATGGCCTGGACCTAATCTGCTGTATCCGCCTTCCTACTTCATTCACGGAAGGAAGCGTCACCCGGACCGGACAACTGGCATTCTTTTAATTGCCTTGGGCGCTTGCTAAACAGCCCTGCTCGATTCCTCCAGTGGGGGCGTTGAGTAAACGGCTTCGCGCGTCGGGGTGGTTATTCTGGGTGTGTGTTTGTTCCCCTCTATTGACGTTTTTGCCTGCTTCTTCCGACCGGCGTGCATGGACAAACGTCGCATCCCTTCTCCCGGGACCAGCGTCTCGTTCCGCGCCTTGTTTTGACGGCCTTCGGGCCTGGCGAGGGCCCCCCCGTTTCCGTCGTGGGTTTTGCATTGCGCGGGCCCTGAAATCGAACGTCACAGAAAACATGCGACATCGCGGAGCAGCTCGACCTGGGCCTGGGACCTACAGTGGAAGCCCATGCCAAGAGGCGCCCTGCCTGCCTCCAGGGTGCCCTGGGTTTCTTGGGCTCCAATTGTTTTTGCTATGGAAAGCGTGACGTCCTGGGGCCTCAGGGTAGGTTTCTTGGGTTGCTTGGGTTTCTTCCGGAAGGTTTCTTGGGCTCCTTGTGGACGTCCTGAGGTTTCTTGGGTTTCCTGTGGAAGGTTTCTCGCGGTCGAGCCCCCACGCAGCATCGTGGAGCAGCTCGACCTGGGCCCAGGACCTGCCTGCCTTGCTGCCGCATGTGTTCCTCTTCGGGCCAGCCCGATCCCACGACCCGACGCGAGGCAAGCACAGCCCGGCGTGAACAGACTGCGACGCCACAATCCCCAAGGGCTCCCACGAGCGTGCGAAGTTATTCGCGCTTCGCGCTTCGCGGTCCTCGTTCTTTCTCCCCCCTCCTCCTCGTCCTCCTCTTCTCCCTTTGGGGGGGGCGGCGCGAGGGCGCGAAGTTATTCGCGCTTCGCGCTTCGCGCAGCGCGAGGGCGCGAAGTTGGGAGCCCTAGACAATCCCACGGACCCAGGCCTCCTGCAGACGGGTTCGGAGCAGATGGGGTCGGAGGCTCGCGCCCCATCGACGAAGCATCGGCGATGCGGCGCGGTGCGGCGGATCCCCAAGGGCTCCCACGAGGGCGCGAAGTTATTCGCGCTTCGCGCTTCGCGGTCCTCGTTCCTTCTCCCCCCTCCTCCTCGTCCTCCTATTCTCCCTTTGGGAGGGCGGCGCGAGAGCGCGAAGTTATTCGCGCTTCGCGCTTCGCGCAGCGCGAAGCGCGAAGTTGGGAGCCCTTAATCCCGACTTTCTCCACGCCGGCGTCGCCGACGCACCGCCCACGTCGACGATGCATCGCCGCGGTGCATCGCCGGTGCATCGCCATGATGTATCGCCGGTGTATCGGCGATGCGGCGCCGTCCTCCGACCCCATCAGCTCCGACCCCATCAGCTCCGACCCCATCCAGCAGGCCTCGCATGGGGGCGGACACTGTCAGCCAGCCTTCCGTCCGGTTTTATTGTGGTGCCCCGCGGCGCGAGCGCGCGCCCGCCCCCGCCAGACCTTCTCCGTCACCGACGCCGTCTTCTGCTACCCGCGAGGCACGGCGGACCTGCTCGGCGGCGACGGGCGGCGACGACAACGACGACGACGACGACGACGACGACGACGACGACGACGACGACGACGACGACGACGACGGCGGCGACGGCGGCATCGGCGGCGGCAGCGGCGGCGAGCCGGCCTCGGCGCCGCAAGGGCGGCGGGGGAGGGGGAGGGGCGGGTCGTCCTGCGCCGCACCCCGAGGAGTCCGCGACGGGGGGGCTGCCGACCCCATGAGGTCCTGGCGTCGACGCCGGCCCAGACGCCCTCGGGCAGTGACAAACCACGACGCGGGAGGCGTTTCGCTATGTTCTGCCTCTGGGGGGCCCTCACGTGGCCTCGGGACCGTCCACAAAACGATATCAGGAGGGAATACGGGCCCCGGGGAAGGGTCTAGACCTCTGGGGGTCGACGTCTTTCAGGAGGAAAAGAAGCACACAGACACAATGAATCCTCGATTCCCCAGAAAATATTGGAAAATATGAGAAGCGGGCGGGAAGACAGAAACCTCAAACATGTGGGAAAATATGGGAAGTATGTTTATTTGTGTGTATTTGTTTGTGTGTCCTGGGGCCCCTTCAGTCTTGGACAAATCACGACGTCGGGGGTCTGGGGACGACGGCGGCGCAGAGCTCCGCGAGGTCGCTCCGCGAGGTCGTCGGTCAAGTGCCGTCTGCCGGTGCCGTCGGTCCTCGGCGGGCCCCCCGGCCGCGGGAGGCTCTCCAGCGGCGGCGCCCCGCCGAGAGCGCTCTGCAGGGGTGCCCGGGTCGTCCCGAGCGGCCGGCAGACCTTGCACCTCCATCGTCCACACCTTCCGACCTCTGTGGAAGGCGCGGAGGGTGATGCATGAAAGCTATTGAGAGCCGCCGGGAGACGCAGGAGAAGTCGGCGTTGCACGGAGCGCAGGAGTGTGGAAGGTCAGCGCGGAAGGTCTGGAAGAAGGAGGGCGGGGGGGAGCAGAAGCATGGCCCGAAGGTTTGAGGGTTGGGCCGACCCTGAGGTCCTGGCGTCGCAGCCTTTTCACCACGGGCGATTCCTCCTCGCCTCGGGCTCCGAAGATATATGGGGCCCAGGGCCCCGGTCGAGGTGTTCCGTGAGGCTGCAGTCTTCTCGCCGCGTCGGAGCGCAGGGTTTCGAGGATGTTTTTGTTTGCACTTGTCGGGCTCGTTTGCTCGTCGGAGGGGCTGCCCAGGCGCCACTTGCTACACTGCGCGCCGAGCCCGCCCGAGCCGAGCCCGGTGCTTCCTCCACCGTGGGGGTCGGTGCCGTCGAGGCGGGCTCTCGGGAAGGGTGAAGGGCGGGGCGCCCGGGAGCCCACGGACACCCGATGGCTGGGCGCCCGGGAGCCCACGGACACCCGATGGCTCTGTGGTGATGATCGTCCTCGTCCTCGTCGTCGTCGTCGTCGTCGTCGTCGTCGTCGTCGTCGTCGTCGTCGTGGAAGTCGTCGAAGGCGTCGCATGCGCCTGGTCCGCCACGCGGGCGGCGCCGCGCCGGACGCCGTCGTCACCGCCGGCGTCGCCGCGCTCGCTAGCGACGTTCGGTTCTCTTGTATTTTGCACACGCGTGTTCTTATTATAAGATCTCTAGGTTCTTATATGCTCGTATATGTATGTTCTCCTAAGAACGATTAGGCCCCAGGCCTCGGGGTGCCGGGCCGGCAGTCCTGCCCGATGCCCAGCGCAGCGCCGCCGCCACTGTTGCCCTTCCGTCGGACGTCGTCGTCGCTGTGGCCGTCGCCGTGGCCGGTCGCTGGCCGGCGGATCGGCCGAGGTCGGCCGCCGGGTCCGTCCCCGGAGCTCGGACGCCACGAGAATCGATGCCAGCAGCAGCGAAGAGAGGCCCCACCGGGGGCCCTGAGCGCCCCCCCGCCCTGAGCCCCCACCCGAGCGCGGCGTTCGCACGTGAGCTGCCCGCGTGAGGTGGCGCGTGCGTGCCCTCGTCTCCGCTGCGGTGTGCCGCGCTGGCGGCCCGCGCAACCCAGACCCCCGACGTAGTGATGTTTTCATCACGTCGACCCCCAGAGGTCCCGACCCGTTCCCCATGACCGGCTTTGCATGCTGAGTCGTTTTTTGACGTTCCCGAGGCCCGGTGAGGGCCCCAGGAGGCCGAAAATTAGGAAAAACCTCCCGTCATGATTTTTTCATTGCTCGAGGGGATCTGGGAAGCCACCGCGTAAGGTCGCTAAGCCGTCTCGCGCGAGGCCCCTCTCGGATCGTCGCCCACCCTGCCGCGGCAGCGCTCGAGGCGGAGCGGCCCGTGGGGCCAACCCGGGGCCCTTGCGCGAGGCGGCGCCGCCCCCGCTTGCAACAAAAACCCAGAGATCCGACGCCGTGATTTTTTCAATGCGGGGTCCCCTGGTCCAGGAGGTCCGATTCAGGTCTCGCCCTGGTCCGAAATCCGATTCGATCCGGCTCAATCCCGCTTCAATCCGGCTTAATCCAGCTTAGCCCCGCTCCATCAGGCTTCCTCCCCAGAGATGGGATGCCGTTTTGTTCTTCCCATACGCGGCCCCCGGAAGTCTCGACCCACTCCCCAGGACCGGTTTTCCATCCTGAGTCCTTTTTTGACGGTCCCGGGGCCAGGCGAGGGCCCCATGGGGGGCCGAAATCGGCGGAAAATGTCCGTCTTGATTTTGTTCAGTGCGTTCGATCTCTGGGGAGCGACCCGTGAGGCCAATCCAGGGCCCGGCGCGAGGCGACATCGCCCGGCTTGCAACAACTTGCTACCGCCGGGATCTGCCCTCGCCCTCATTTTTCCAGACCTTCCGTGCAGACCTTCCACACTCTTGCGCTTAATCATTGAAACGCTGAGTTTCCTTGCGCTTCCACACTCTTGCGCTTCCCGAGTCACGTGTTTGGCGTGTCTGTTGCAGCTAGGCCAGCGCATCGTTTAGCCAGCCATCTGCTCAGAGCTGTTGTTTTTCCCCGCGGCCTTCGTAGAGGGCCTCCTGCGTGCTGCAGGCACGCCTGCCTCCCTTGCAGGGATGCCGGGCCTCCCGGCGACGGCGGAGTTTCGTTCGCTCGTTCATCACCTTCCGCGCCTCCCGCAGAGGTCGGAAGGTATGGAAGATGGAGGTGGTGGGTGCGGGGTGTCGGCCAGCGGTGTGCCGGCGTTGTCGTGGCCGCGGGCGCGCGTGGCTGGCCGCCGGCTGGCGTTGTCGTGGCCGTCGCGCCCGTGGCGTTTCGCTGGCCGGCGATGCCCCTCACTCAGGGGATCCAAGAACGATGCGCTTGAAGAAAAATTAATCGACCCGCTCAAAAATCCTGGGTTGCATTATAATTCGTCCCATGAAAATCATAGGGTTGTCTTATTAGTCGATCCCGCGTTATTTAGCAACCTTGGAGTCTCAAGGTGGCCGCGCGCGCGTGGCCGGCCGGCGGTTTGCTGGCGTGAATCGTGACCGTCGCGCGCGTGGCCGGCCGCCGGCCGGCGTTGGCCGTGTGGTCGGCCGCCGGGCCGCCGCCGTGCGCGCTGCAGGCCCCCCCGGGGGCGTCACGAGCGGGCCGGGGCGACGCACGGGGGCGGGCAGCTGCAGGGGCGGTCGGCACCAAGAGATCCGACGCATTGGAAAAACCAGGCACAATGTCGCAAATGTTCTCAGATGTTTCCCAAAACAATTTTGCAGAAGTTCGCAAAATTTCGCGAAAATTCCAACGATCCCAAAGGTTTTTCGCAAGTTTCGGCCCCCATGGGGCCCTCGCTGGGCCTCGAGGATCGGGACTGGAAAAACGACTCGGGATGAAAAACCCGTCCTGGGGAACAGGTCGAGACTTCCCGGGGCCCCGCATCGGACAACAAAAAAATCACGACGTCGGATCTCTGGGGGGGCGGTCGGTACACGCACGCGCGCAGGAGCCTCGCCGAAGGTAGGGGCCCATCGGAGGAGGAGGAGGAGGAGGAGGAGGAGGAGGAGGGAGGAGGGAGGAGGGAGGAGGGAGGAGGGAGGAGGGAGGAGGGAGGTTCCACCGCCAGAATATATGTCCACGTCCACTGCTTCGGAGGTGGGCCCTGGAATGGACATTTGCCCGCCCGCGTGGGTGGGCAGATATCCATATCTACCGCTCCCCGAGTCCTCGGACCACCACACGGCGGCAGTGGGTTTGGTGATATTCTGGCGGCGAAGTTGTCATCTCGTCCGCGGCGGAAGGTCGGCGGGAGGCGGCGGAAGCAACACGAGGCGCCTCCGCCGGCGGAAGTTGGCGGACGGCTGGCGGCGGAAGTAAGAGATTCGCCCCCAAAGAGATGGAAACGTTTTCAAGTTCAAGAGACCCAGAGATCCAACGTGTTGAAAAATCAAGACGGTTGTGTTTCACAAATTTCGGCCCCTAGGGGTCGTCGCCAGGCCTCAGGACTTTCAAACAACGACTCGGGATGAAAAACGGGTCCTGGGGAATGGGTCGAGACTTCGGGGGACCCCGTATTGAAAAAACACGACATCGGATCTCTGGAGATGAAAACGTTTTTGGGGTTCAGAGTTTCCAAAATCCGCCACATGTATGGCCCTCCCCTGGGCTATTCGCTCCCATCGCCGCCCCCGACACGAGGGTTTCACCAAGACGACCCCGCAGGTCTCGACCCTTTCGCCCGTCGGCGACCTTGAGACCCCGACACCCTCGAGTCGTGGAAGAGAACATCACGACGGGAGGCTTTTCTATACTTTCGGCCTCCAGGGGCCCTCACCGGGCCTCGGGGCCGTCAAACAGCGATCCGGAGGGGTCGAGACTTCCAGAGTCGACGTCATGGAACAAGCATGCCGTCGGGGGTCTGGGGACGGGGGTCCCTGCAAACGGGAGTCAGCCAGAACGCCAGATCTTGCAGGATCCCGTGGAGCCAGGGCTGCATGGGCGGGGGGAGGTTGGATCCCCGACCCCGGACCAGCCGGTCATCCTGAGGAGGAGGAGGAGGAGGAGGAGGAGGAGGAGGAGGAGGAGGAGGAGGAGGAGGAGGAGGAGGGGGGGGAGGAGGAGGAGGTGGAGGAGGAGGAGGAGGAGGAGGAGGAGGAGGAGCCAGGGCTGCATGGGCTGGGGCAGGTGGGAGATCCCCGACCCCGAAAGCCGGCCATCCGGGGCCCTTACCCGACGGCGCCTGGACCCGGCGAGGGCCCTCGGAGGCCGAGCACGGGCAACAAGATGTCCCGTTCCGTGTGCCTTCGGAACGCGAGGGAGTTTTGGGGCGAGGAGGACGAGCACGAGGAATCGCGAGGACAAGAAGAAGAAGGAGGAGGAGGAGGAGGAGGAGGATTATGAGGATCATGAGGAGGGCCCCCATCTGGGCCAAGAGCAGCCAAAAAAGGATCGCCGTGACGCGAGGGGGTCCAGGGTGCCGCCGCCGCCGCGCAAGAGAGGCGGCCGGCTGCGCCTGACGCCCAACGGCATCGCGCCCCTGCGCCCCGGGGTGCGGCTGCTGCACGCGACGGTGCTCCGCTTCAACGAGAGGCGCGCGGACTCCGCGGGCGGGGGGGGCAGACGTCCTGGGCCTCCCGGGCGGGGTCGGAGCAGGCGGTGTCGGAGGACCGCGCCACATCGCCGGTGCGGCTCGATTCAGGTCCCCAAGAAGCCACCGGGAGGCCCCCAAGAGACCCCTAAACTGCCCTGCAGAGGCCAGAGCCCTCTGGAGAGACCCGAAGCGTCCATAAGGACTCCGACCCAAAAAACCAAGGACAGTGGCGGGATGGGTCGAAGGCCATTAGATAGCTCGCATACGCGCCGCGTCGCGACTTTCGATGCTGCGCACCACTTCGACAAACTCCCAGGGAGCGGCCGGTGATGCGCCGCCGGCGTCCTCGATTCAGGAGGGAAAGAAAACACACAGACACAGTCAATCGTTGATTCCCTAGAAAAGATCGGAAAATATTTGGAATCCTGGGATTTGTATGCATTTTTTTGTGTTCCTGGGCCCTCTCATCGATGTGAAGCCCGATTTGCTTCACGCCGACGTCGCCGAGGCATCGCCGGCGTCGCCGGTGCCTCGCCGGTGCATCGCCGATGCATCGCCGATGTCTTGGCGAGGCGGCGCGATCCTCCGACCCCAGTAACTCCGACCCCATCTAGGAGGCCTCGATCTAGACATGCTCGCGTCGTGGAGAAATCAGGACGGGAGGTTTTGGGGCAGTTGTGGGCTTCGGTACGGGCTCTTACGGAAAGAGTGGTGGAAAAGTTTTGGAGATCCGACGCATTGAAAAAGCACGACGGAGTATTCTTGTCGGCCTCTATGGTCTCGGCCCTCGCCGGGCCCCGGGACCGTGAAAAACGATTCGGGATGAAGAACAGGCTCCAGGGAAAGGGTCGGGATTTCTAGTGGCCCCGCACTGCGAACAAGAATCAGGGCATTGCATGCCTGGGGGTGCACCGTTTCTGCGACCAATTTCGGCAGCGAGCCTGGGGGGGAAAGTGAGACGGGGCGGGCCTTCTCATTCGGATGCAGCTCCTGGAAGGTCAGATTCAGATGTTGCCCTGGTCCGAAATCCGGCTCAAGCCTTTGCATCCCGCTTAATCGGGCTCAATCCCGCTGAATCCGAGGCCAACTCCGGCGTAACAACCCCGCTTAATCATCCTTCAACCTTCCGACGAAGACCTCCCAGTAGTTGCCTCCTGATTCTCAGAAGGCCCAGGAGTCACCTGAGCCTTCCCCGGAGACACAGACAAGAACCACTGTCAGAAGGCGCGAGGGCTTTGAGAAGCCCCGAATCCTCCTTAAACCTTCCGACGACGACCTCCCAGTAGTTGCCTCCTGATTCTCCGAAGGCCCAGGAGTCACCTGAGCCTTCCCCAGAGACACAGACAAGAACCATTGTCAGAAGGCGCGAGGGCTTTGAGAAGCCCCGAATCCTCCTTAAGCCTTCCGACGACGACCTCCCAGTAGTTGCCTCCTGATTCTCAGAAGGCCCAGGAGTCACCTGAGCCTTCCCCGGAGACACAGAAAAGAACCATTGTCAGAAGGCGCGAGGGCTTCTGAGAAGCCCCGCCGCCCTCCTTAAACCTTCCGACGACGACCTCCCAGTAGTTGCCTCCTGATTCTCAGAAGGCCCAGGAGTCACCTGAGCCTTCCCCGGAGACACAGACAAGAACCACTGTCAGAAGGCGCGAGGGATTTGAGAAGCCCCGAATCCTCCTTAAACCTTCCGACGACGACCTCCCAGTAGTTGCCTCCTGATTCTCAGAAGGCCCAGGACTCACCTGAGCCTTCCCCAGAGACACAGACAAGAACCATTGTCAGAAGGCGCGAGGGCTTCTGAGAAGCCCCGCCGCCCTCCTTAAACCTTCCGACGACGACCTCCCAGTAGTTGCCTCCTGATTCTCAGAAGGCCCAGGAGTCACCTGAGCCTTCCCCGGAGACACTGACAAGAACCACTGTCAGAAGGCGCGAGGGCTTTGAGAAGCCCCGAATCCTCCTTAAACCTTCCGACGACGACCTCCCAGTAGTTGCCTCCTGATTCTCAGAAGGCCCAGGAGTCACCTGAGCCTTCCCCAGAGACACAGAAAAGAACTATTGTCGAAGGCGCGAGGGCTTCTGAGAAGCCCCGCCGCCCTCCTTAAACCTTCCGACGACGACCTCCCAGTAGTTGCCTCCTGATTCTCAGAAGGCCCAGGAGTCACCTGAGCCTTCCCCGGAGACACAGACAAGAACCACTGTCAGAAGGCGCGAGGGCTTTGAGAAGCCCCGAATCCTCCTTAAACCTTCCGACGACGACCTCCCAGTAGTTGCCTCCTGATTCTCAGAAGGCCCAGGAGTCACCTGAGCCTTCCCCAGAGACACAGAAAAGAACCATTGTCAGAAGGCGCGAGGGCTTTGAGAAGCCCCGCCGCCCTCCTTAAACCTTCCGACGACGACCTCCCAGTAGTTGCCCCCTGATTCTCAGAAGGTCCAGGAGTCACCTGAGCCTTCCCCGGAGACACAGACAAGAACCACTGTCAGAAGGCGCGAGGGCTTTGAGAAGCCCCGAATCCTCCTTAAACCTTCCGACGACGACCTCCCAGTAGTTGCCTCCTGATTCTCAGAAGGCCCAGGAGTCACCTGAGCCTTCCCCAGAGACACAGAAAAGAACCATTGTCAGAAGGCGCGAGGGCTTCTGAGAAGCCCCGCCGCCCTCCTTAAACCTTCCGACGACGACCTCCCAGTAGTTGCCTCCTGGTTCTCAGAAGGCCCAGGAGTCACCTGAGCCTTCCCCGGAGACACAGACAAGGACCACTGTCAGAAGGCGCGAGGGCTTTGAGAAGCCCCGAATCCTCCTTAAACCTTCCGACGACGACCTCCCAGTAGTTGCCTCCTGATTCTCAGAAGGCCCAGGAGTCACCTGAGCCTTCCCCAGAGACACAGAAAAGAACCATTGTCAGAAGGCGCGAGGGCTTCTGAGAAGCCCCGCCGCCCTCCTTAAACCTTCCGACGACGACCTCCCAGTAGTTGCCCCCTGATTCTCAGAAGGCCCAGGAGTCACCTGAGCCTTCCCCGGAGACACAGACAAGAACCACTGTCAGAAGGCGCGAGGGCTTTGAGAAGCCCCGAATCCTCCTTAAACCTTCCGACGATGACCTCCCAGTAGTTGCCTCCTGATTCTCAGAAGGCCCAGGAGTTACCTGAGCCTTCCCCAGAGACACAGACAAGAACCACTGTCAGAAGGCGCGAGGGCTTCTGAGAAGCCCCGCCGCCCTCCTTAAACCTTCCGACGACGACCTCCCAGTAGTTGCCTCCTGATTCTCAGAAGGCCCAGGAGTCACCTGAGCCTTCCCCGGAGACACAGACAAGAACCACTGTCAGAAGGCGCGAGGGCTTTGAGAAGCCCCGAATCCTCCTTAAACCTTCCGACGACGACCTCCCAGTAGTTGCCTCCTGATTCTCAGAAGGCCCAGGAGTCACCTGAGCCTTCCCCGGAGACACAGACAAGAACCACCGTCAGAAGGCGCGAGGGCTTCTGAGAAGCCCCGCCGCCCTCCGAGGAGGCCTCCTCCCTCCCGCCAGGGCCGCGGCCGACGACCGAGCGACGAAGGAGAAGGGTCCGGAGGGAAAGAAACACACAGACACAATTAATCGTCGAGCCCCAGGAAAATGTTGAAAAAATATAGGACTTGGGGGGGGGGGGGGGGAAGACAAAAACCCTGAAGCTATGGGAACATATGGGGAGTCTTGTTGTTTGTGTGTATGTGTTTGTGTGTCCTTGGGCCCCTTCACGAGCGGCGAAGGAGAACGGGGCTCGTCTGCACCGGCTCTGGCGCAAGCAAGCTGCCCGCAGAGGGTCGCGCGCGGGAGCGCCCGCGCTTCCAACACGGCGTGGCGCGCTGGCGGCCCGCGTGAGCAAAAGGGCGCCCTCGAGGGCGCGAAGTCCTTCGCGCGTCGCGCTTCGCAGTGCGGCTCCGCTTCCTCCTCATCCTCCTCTTCTCCCCTGGGAGGCGGCGCGAGAGCGCGAAGTTATTCGCACTTCGCGCTTCGCAGTGCGGCTCCGATCCCTCCTCTTCCTCTTCTCCCCTGGGAGGCGGCGCGAGAGCGCGAAGTGATCCGCACTTCGCGCTCTCGCGCAACGCGAGGCGCGGAGTTGGGAGCCCCTTGGTGAGCCACCGCGCGCGGTCGCCACGTCCTCTCGCGCAAGGCCCGTGTCTTTTGTGCCGTCGCGCACCTGCAGGCCCTGCACCTGCGGGCCCCGTCGACGCTGGGGTGTCTCGGGAGGAACAAAAAAACTCGCAGACACGAGTAACCATCGGTTCCCCAGAAAATGTGGGAACACAGGGGAAGTGGGGGGGGGGGAAGACGAAAACCCAGAAATTAAGAGGGAATATGGGGAATCCTGTTATTCGTGTGTGTATTATTTGTGTGTGTGTCCTTGGGCTCCTTCAGTGTCGGACGCCCCTGCTCGGGTTCGCCTGGCTGCAGACAGCTTTCGAATCCTGAGCCCCGGCCGACCTTTCTGAAATCTGACCTGCAGGGTTTGGGCCCATGCCGACCTCTCGCGGCCCTCCTGCGGATGGCGTGGCGGTGCCATCGAACTAGATGCTCGGGAGGCTGTCTTGTCGGTTTGAGGGATGGATGGTCCACGGGGACGTCGACAGGCGACGGGCATCGAGGGGGGGGCATATATACGCATCCATATCCACCGCCTGCCGAAGTCCCCGAACGTCGTCCCCAGGCGGTGGTCGAAAGCCGATCCCCGAAAGTCGATCCCACGAACGTCGAACGTGGCCGAACCCCCGCCTCGCCTTCGGGGCCCGACGATGTGACTGTTTCAGGTGCGCGGCCGATGCTTCGCCCCGGGCGCAGATCTGATGGCCATGGGGTTCTGTCGGGCGTGTCCCCCTACAGATGGATTTTCGACGAAAAATAAAAGATACCCCCAAAATACCCCAAAAAGGTCAACAAATAATCAGAAAATAGTCCCCTGATTATTTTTGGAGCATTTTTGGATTATTTTTGGAGTATTTTGCATTTTTCATCGAAAATCCCCCTGTAGGGGGACAGGCCCAACTTAACCATGGACGGAACAACGTCCTCGCAGGATCCTGGCGGCATGCCAAAGCGGGGTCGCCCTCGCGAGCCCGTCGGCGAGGCGCCATCCTATAGGACGGTTCGCGCGAGAGGCCGGGGAGCGAAGAAGCAGCGCCTGCGGACTTCGGCGCGGGAAGCCGCCGGAGTGCCGCAGGGGCATCGGGGAAGTACAGGGAAGTTGGAGAAAGTGGCCAGGGCCAGCCCTTTCACTTTTTCCAGCCCTGGGTCCGTTTCCTCGCGTTCTTCCAGCCCTGGCGACCAGGTCCCAATTTGCTTCGGGGTTGTCCCAGCCCATGCCAGCCTTCCCAGCCTTGGCCACTTCCACTTCCACTGAACTTCCAACACCCACTGTTTCGGGCTCTTCTGTTCAAGCAGTGGCGAAGCGTCCTGGCTTGCCTATTGGCTCACCAAAGAATGTTCAAAGAACTGGTTGTGGTCTGCACGAGATGTTCTTAGAACATTTCTGGGTGATTTCGACGACGTGTTCTTAGACTATTTCTGGCTGAGACTGTTTTGTTCTAGCACAGCGGGCTTCTGCTCTACGAACATTGTTCTCAGAACAGTTGTGGGTTCTGAGAACATGTCGTGGCAGGCCTATAGGAATGCCGGGACGGTCGAAACTTGCTCAATCTGTACACCACCAGCCGCTGTCGCTAGACTTGCCGGCCGTCGGTGCGGACCACGTGGCAGCGCAGCGGGCTCTGCCATGTGGCTGCACGGTTTCCCCCGACGCCGTAGGCGACCCGAGGAGGAGGAGGAGGAGGAGGAGGAGGCGGAGGAGGAGGAGGAGGAGGAGGAGGAGAAGGGAGAGGAGGAGGAGGGAGGAGGAGGAGGAGGAGGAGGAGGAGGGAGGAGGAGGAGGAGGAGGAGGAGGAGGGAGGAGGGAGGAGGACGAGGAGGGGAGGAGGGAGGAGGAGGAGGAGGAGGGAGGAGGAGGAGGAGGAAGGGTCGCCTAAGTCCTGCTCAATCTGTGCACCACCAGCGGCTGTCGCTAGACTTGCTGGCCGTCGGTGCGGACCACGTGGCAGCGCAGCGGGCTCTGCCATGTGGCTGCACGGTTTCCCCCCGGGCCGTAGGCGACCCGAGGAGGAGGAGGAGGAGTTGGCGGAGGAGGAGGAGGAGGAGGAGGAGGAGGAGAGGAGGAGGAGGAGGAGGAGGAGGAGGGAGGAGGGGAGGGAGGAGGAGGCGCGCGGAGGGGTCTGCAGACGGCGGCGGCGTGGCGTCGGCGCTCCGAGGGCGCGCTCGGCGGGAGACGGGGGCGGGCGTCGCCCCGCGGAGCGATGCGAGCGGTGCGGACGCTCTCGTTAAGTGGGCCACATGCGAGGCCTACCCCTACCCCCCCCCCAACTCCTCCTCCTCCTCCTCCTCCTCCTCCTCCTCCTCCTCCCCTCCTCCCTCCTCCTCCTCCTCCTCCTCCTCCTCCTCCTCCTCCTCCCTCCTCCTCCTCCTCCTCCTCCTCCTCCTCCTCTCCTCCTCCTCCTCCTCTCCTCCTCCTCCTCCTCCTCCTCCTCCTCCTCCCTCCTCCTCCTCCTCCTCCTCCCTCCCTCCTCCTCCCCCCCCCCTCTCCTCCTCCTACGCACAGTGGCGATGTGAACGCTCTTGATAGGAGGCCACCGCGATTTCTGAGGGGGAGGGTGGGCTTCACTTCGCCCGTGAGCTCCCGAGCGAAGTGAACCCCACCCTCCCCCTCAGAAGCCGCGGGGGGTAGGGGTACGATGCCCAACAGCAGTTCCTGAACCGGACTCGCTGTCCGCGCCGCCGCGGCCTGTGTCCACTTGAGGCAGAAGGCCGCCTGCCCAACAGCGGCCGCTGTTGGTCTGGGACAACATTTATTGTTGGGCATTGTACCCATTCTTTCCGTACCCATTTCGGGCGTCCAAACCCTACCCCCCCACGATTTCTGAGGGGGAGGGTGGGGTTCACTTCGCTTGGGAGCTCCCGAGCAAAGTGAGCCCCACCCTCCCCCTCAGAAATCGCGGGGCGGGTAGGGGCAGGGTTCGCACGTGGCCCCCTGCCTGATCCACTGCACGCTCCGCCGTGCCCCTGCGCAAGGCAACTCGCCCGGGCTTCGCTCGTGGATGGGCTGGTGGGGATACTTTTTTGGTCGCAGCCGCAGGCGAGAGCGCAAGCGGCGAGTCGTAAGTCCGGGGCGCGGGCCTACGGTAGGTTTGCGTCGTGTCGACCGGCGGCGACCCCGCCGCCGACGTTCAAGGTTGAACGCCGCCGGCGACCCAGAATCGATCGATGTTGAACGATCGGACGTTGCGGCAGCGGCCGATCGTTCAAGGTTGAACGATCCCTGCGGTGTCAAAAACCAACGCTGGGGTCGGCACGACACGAACCTGCCGTACTAACTAAAACAGGAGCAAGGTAGAGCGGCGTAACCAAAACAACTAGCTGCCTAAGCGTCGCGTCAGGTAGGCTGCAAGCTGCACTGAGTGTGGGCTGGTGGGGATACGCAGAGGGTCACGGATGGATCGCCGTGTTCGGCGCCTTGGGGCCGTCGCGGGGCCCCGGGGCCATCGAAGAACAGCCCGGGAGGGGCAGACCGGTCCCTGGGAAGGGGCGCAGAGCTCGGGGCGACCCCGTCGCAAAACAGATCCAGACATCGGAGGCGCGTCCCTCTACAGGAGGAGTATTCAAAAATAATCGTTTTTGAAAAGTAGTCTCGGAACGAGTTTCGATTATTGTTCGACTATGTTTGGGCATTGTTTGGCTATCTTTCATCTTCCTTCGGAGATCCGCCTGTAGGAGGACATGCCCCACCTGATCAAAGACATCCAATTGTGTTCGCCGAGGGCGGGGATGCTGTTCCGGCGAGACACGGGCGCGCGTAATAACCCTGTCGAGGCAGGGGTTGGCCAAGGTTTTCGGGCCGGCTCTGCACGTCACGCCTTCTGCAGTGGGGGCTCGTTCGAACATGTGTCCGCAGTCCAATCAAAGAGCACTGTGCTGCGAGGGATTGGATTTCCTGGCAGGCTTGCCCATGACCGATCCGGCGGAGCTGCTTGGATTAGACGACTAATTGTTTCGTTTCAAGTCGACCGTATATTTAACAGCGCACCTCGGGTGGATCGCTACGAGGCTATATTGGGCGTCTGCTTGAAGAAGCGGCTAATTACCCCTGTGTTCCGATATTGATGGTTCGAGATTGTTTCATTGATCAGCCAAGTCTTCCACACCATCATCGCTCATGCGCCCTAATATGTGTGTATGTATATTCGTATTGAGCGCTATCTGCATTCATGTTGCTCGCATCCCTGCTTGTTTGGTGCTTCTCGCGCTCGCCTCACCCTGACGTATGTATATGTCGCTTATCGCCCTCTTTGACGCTGGAGAGGTCTGGTAACTACATCGTGTGCTATGACAACGCGTCCAAGAACGATTTCGAGGAGAGCACCGTGCTTCCAGGTAAGCGCCGTCCAGTCACGCGAGGTCGTTCGGGGATCGGTCTGCGGCCCTGTCCTGTCTCCCTTGCCCTTCCTCATCCTCATCATCCTGTCGTCACCTTGCGCAAGACCACCACATGAGAGACGGGGCGCTTCCCGCGGTAAGGCACAGCTCGGAGGAGGAAAAGGCATCCATATGTCTACCCCCTCGCCGATTTTCCCCTTTGTGGGCCTCCTGGGAGGGGGGGGGGGGGTCAAATGGCTGGTTTGTACTCCCTGGGGGGGGATTATGGGGGGTCCGAGGAGGAGGGAAAGGAGGAGTGACGATTTCGTTTGGAGGCGTGTACTTTTGTCTCTGGTGGCCTTTCGGAACGATGTCCGACACTTCGGACAGCGTGTGCGTCACCCTGGATCTCGAGACCCTGCACAGGTGTCTGGACCGTGCAATGTGTCATGGCCGCCGGCACAAGCTGACCTGGTAGGGGGTCCGAATCTCAGGGGCGGTTCGCGGGGTCTCTTCGGAGCGCTGTGGAGGCGGGGGCGATGTCAGATGGTGGAGGAATACTGCGTGGGTGCGTTTTTTCGTTGCTGACTTTCGAATTGTTCGCCGTGCAGGCATGGGGAAATACATGCGCACACTCGCGCTCGCAGACGGCAGGCGTCGGTCCAAACACCGGACGAGTGTTTCTCGACTGGCACGCGGCGCATCCCGCCACCTTGCTTGGGTTGCGGGTGTGCGGCCACACGGGTGGTTGATGGGATCTCGTGGGAGGCCTGACGGGGTCGTTTTGAAGATCGTTTTTGGGTCTTCTTGGGGGCTTCCCGGGGGCGTCTTGGAGGCCTCCGAGGAGCAGGGCCCCTCAGGGCCTTTTTGAAGTGTTCTTGGAGCAGGCCGGGGGGCGCCTCGGGGCCGAAGGCTCGAAAAGGTGCCCTTTTGGACTACGCCTTGGAGCCGTCCTTGGGGTTTTGTGGGCTGTTGTTGGGCCCTCTTCGGCCCTTCTTGGGGGCCCCTTTTGGCCGTCTGGGGGCGATATTGAAGGTGTATTTGCCCGTTGTGGACGTTGTGAAAGCCGAATGGGCGAGCATGCGACAAATTTTGTTTTTTTCCCAAAAGGGAAAGGGCCGATTCTTGCTTCTTGGGTCCCTCTTGGGGCGCATCTTGGAGGCCTTTGGGGGCGTCTTGGCGGCTTCGGAGGCCGCCTGGAGGCCATCGTGGGCGTGCATGGGGCGATCTGTCCGCGAATCGTGGCCCCCTGAGACCGTCTGGGGGGCGTTTTGGTGCCGTTTTGGTGAAGTTGTGGGGCCCTCCGCCCCCCCGTGGCGCGTTGGGTTCGGGGTCGCGCTCGGCCAGGGGGGGGGTCGAATTGCCGGTCGGGGGCCCCGGGGGGGATTATGGGGGGGGAATTTCACGCGCCGAGACCCACAAGTGGCCTCCAGAGGAAGCCATCGGAAGTGATTACGCATTCGGCGTCGGTTCGTTGATTTTTTGGGTCGCAGAAGCCCCCCCACTTTGGGGCGTCGCCAAGCCATGCTATGTCATGCCACGCGTTACTGTTCAACGCCATGCCATGCCATTCTATGCCATGCTACGACATCCGACTGTGCGAATGGAGAGGAGATCTCAGGCCGTGGTAAGGGATGGGAGGGAGGGCGAGGACGTCAGATATGACACGAGCGCACCTAGCTTGCCTCCTCCCCCTCTCCTCCCCCCCCCCTTCCCCCCCTTTCTCCTCCTCCTCCCCCTCGCCTCTCTTCTCCTCCCCCCTCCTCTTTGTCCTCCCACAGGGCACATGCTCACAGCAGCTCCGTCGATATCGTTTGCCGAGCAGCCCCGGCGTGCGCCCGCATCCCCAGGGATCCGATGTCCTGATGTTTTCAATACGGGGTCCCCGGAAGTCTCGACCCATTCCCCGGGTGACCTGTTTTTCATTGTGGGTCGTTTTTTGACGGTCCCGAGGCCTGGCGAGGGCCCGTAGGGGCCAACATTTACAAACCACCTCCGTCTACAGTTTTTCAATACGTTGGATCTCTGGGTTTGGTTCTGCCGCAGCACTCGTTGGGAGGCTCGTCGGGCCACCCCTCCCAGCCAGCTTCCCGCAGGGCTTCCCCCTTTGACCTCTCTCCTCTCCCTCCGGCGCCTCTCCGCTCGCTGCTGCCTCTCTTCGCTCACCGCCGTCGTTGTTCCCTAGTCGTGGTCTCAGAGCCCCGACTCATCAGGGGCATAACTCGGGTCAGGGCTAACTCGGGTTCGTTTTCCGGGAATGCGAACCCGAGTTGCCCGGGGCCCGCCGAGTTGCCCCGGGCAGCTCGGGCGCCCAGAGCCCCAGATCATCCGGGGTAACTCGGGTCAGGGCCAACTCGGGTTCCTCCTCCGGGACTGCGAACCCGAGCTGTCCCAGGCCCGAGCTGCCCCGGACAACTCGGGCGCGCAGTGGTCCGCACAGGCCGCGCCGGGAGCGGGAGGCTGGAAAGTCCCCCACCCCGCGCCGGCGCCGCGCCGGCGGCGCCTCCCGCCGCCAGAGATGTGAGCGTGGCGAGGGGCGTTGGTCGCCCTCGATCCTCGCGCCCGCACGGGCACTCTCCGCGCGGCACGTTCTCTCCTCTCCCTGGGCGTCGCTCGGGCGTGTGCATTTTCCCTCGGCGAGAACCATCGAGGACCATCCTGGACCATCGAGCCAAAAAAAAACACGCACGATACCGAACAAATGCACGGGAAAGGGCCGTCCGAGCGACGGCAAGCCTCCTGGGGGCTCCAGGAGCCCCGAGGGCCCAGCACGCACCCGAGGGCACAAGCACACACCCGAGGGCACAATAAGAGGCCCGAGGGTCGAACAAGAAGCCCGAGGGCGTTCCAGCTCTTTAGGGCACCCGCGCGCGCTTCCTTTGACGCTCCTCTCGGCGCCCCTGGGGGCCGCCCGCGGGCACAAAAAGAGGCCCGAGGGTCGAACAAGAAGCCCGAGGGCGTTCCGGCTCCTCCTTGCACCCGCGCGCGCTTCCTTTGACGCTCCTCTCGGCGCCCCTGGGGGCCGCCCGGGGGCCGGGAGCCCTCCTGCCCCTGGCCCCCTTTCGTTGGGATGGGCTCGAGGAGTGCACGCCCGCAGCCGCCGGGTCGGCCAAGCGGCTCGGCGCAGCGACGCGCTACCCCCCCCCCGCCCAGACAGCATCGCGTCGGGTGGTCGCCGTGTTTAGTTCGTTGCTTCCCCGATCGGCGCGGGCCCCGAGCCTTCGCCCTTCCCCCTCCCTCCATCGATCAGGAGGGAAGGAAACACACAGACACAATTCATCGTCGATTCCCAGAAAAATATAGGAAAAATGGGAAGTGGGGGGAGACCAAAACCCAGAAAATGTAGGAACATATGGGTAGTCATTTTATTTGCGTGTATTTATTTGTGTGTCCCAGTTCCCCTTCAATCGAGCAAATCCTGGCCGTTTCTTGGCGACTGGTCAGGACCCCCTCCCCCCACAGGCTGATGGCGCGACTGGCAAACCTAGGTCGACTGAGCACCGGCCCAGACCCAGACCCGCCTCCCTGTCCCCCACCTTTTTCGGCCGACTGTCGAAACCCAGAACTAAAAGAAACACGCCTATTCGGCGCCACCCTAACATACTAATATTGTGTGTTCGTCGCCCTGAATGTGGCGACGCGCGCACCGAGAAATCTAACAAAACATGCTCTGTGGTAGGGCGCCTTCTGGCCATACCGCTCGGGAAACGATATACCACAATGTGGTTGTATTACCCTCGCCCTCATTCTTACAGACCTTCCGTACTGACCTTCCACATTGTTGCCCTTCGTGAAACGCTAAGTTTTCCTAATTTTCCCGAGGCTGTCAATCGTTTCAATGCATCACCTTCCGCGCCTTCCGCGGAGGTCGGAAGGTATGGAAGGTGGAGGTGGAGGGTATGTGTTCGGGCCGGACGCATGCCTCCAAGGAGGATGCACAGTGCTAGTATGTCCCCCTGCGTCTCATCGTGCGCGAGTCGCGGCGGGGAGTTTTGCTTATTTCTGGGGCCTCTCGGGGCCCTCCCTTGGCCCCGGGATCGTCAACACAAATTGCTCTGGATGAAAAATTGGTCCCGGGGAAATGGTCGGGACTTCTGGGGGCCGCGCACGTCTTCGAGAAATGAGGGCGTCGCAGGTCTGGGCCAGCTTCCCAACCCTCCTGGGGAACGCTGGGGCGTCTAGACACCGAGCTCCCTCGCCGAGCTCGTTGGCTCGCCGAGCTCTCTGGCTCCGGGCGGTGACGGGCGTGACCGGGTGCGGGGAGGGGGAGGGGGGGGGGAGGGGGAGGGGGCCAGGAACGTCACGATTCGCGCCAGCGCCGTCTGGGGATGCTTGGGCATGCCGTGGCTTTGTTCCCAGGCGGTGCTGGCGCTCCCTGGCCAGCCCAGTCGGCGCGGTGTCTGCTTCCAGCGTGCCCCCGCCACGCGCCAGGACACGGAGGCGGACCCCTTCGAGGGGAACCACCTGCCAGGCGCCTCCGCCCCCTCCCTCCAGCGCCGCCCCTGGGCGCTCTGCGCTCAGGAGGAGAAAAAACCCACAGACACAACTAATCGCCGATTCCCCGCAAAAATATGGGAAAATATGGGCAGTGAGGGGGGGGAGACAGAAACCCAGAAAATATGAGAAAATATGGAGAATACTTTTATTCGTGTGTATTTATTTGTGTGTCCTGGGGCCCCTTCATGCGCACCACTAGGGGTGCCCATCGCCGGTCCAAGAAGTCCGCGCGGACCTCTGTGTGTGAGTGCGATGTGCCAGAATCGGGGAAAACGCATGACTCGAGTTAGCCGGAGCTCGGATGTGCCGACGTTTTTTGGCGAGCGCGTCCTGGCTGTGGACGGTCCAGTCTTCGTGGGGGATGTTTGCAGCGGGAGCTCGCGTCAGATTTCAGAGTGGGTCTCGTCATTTTTATGATGGCCCCGTCAGGACAAACCCGAGTCCCCCGTACCCGAGTCTTGCGTCTCTCCGACAGAATGTCTGCTCTTCGAGGGGGGAAGGGGAAGGTCAGGCTGGCCCCTGTCGTCCCAGACCCCCGACGGCATGACTTTGTTCACGGTGTGGACCCCGCGGGAAAAATACACACAGTGGATAACAAGCACAGGACAAAAACGGAATGTTTGAAAAGAAAACACACAGATTGTGTGTTGTTGAAACAGACTGTGTGGTTTTGTCCACAGACTGTGTTTTGTTTCCACAGACAGTGTGTTTTTGTCCACAGACTGTGCTTTTCCATAGAGGTCTCGTCCCATTCTCTGGGACCGGTTTCCATCCCGAGTCAATGTTTGATTGCCCCGAGGGCCGGTCAGGGTCCCCAGAGGCCGAAAATAGAGACGGCTTCTCGCCACGTTTGTTCATGACCCGATGGGGGTCTGTCGATTCAGGCCCCGTCAGGCCCCTCTTTATGTACAGTCGGGGCCCTGAAGAAGGAACCCTTTTGGTTGGGGAGGGGATCAGCGTTCCTCAAGTGTTTCACAGCTTGCCTCAGGTTTTCCTGATGTTTTCGATGGGAAGTCGAAGTTTAACTTATGGAGCAAAGGGGCCTCGTTCCTTATTTAGGGTTCCTGAGGTCAACGCCCCGACTGTATGGTAGGTCCGCGCCGCGTGGACCTGGCGGCGCCCCCAGCGCGGGCGGTTCAGGCGAAACGGCCGACATCGAGCGCTCTGCGGTCTCGGAAAGCCGCGCTCCCGCAAGGTTGAACGATCCACGAGCTTTGTGGGCCCCGGAAACGGCAGGGCCGTTTTTCACCGTTTCCAGAACATGTCCCTTGAAAATGGAAACGGCAAAAAAACGGCGACCGGAAACGGCGAAAAAACGGCTCCAGGATTGGAACCGGAGCCGGAACCGGTCAAAAATCAGCGACGGAACAGGTAAAACAACGGCGTCGGAACCGGCAAAAGAACGGCAAAACGGAACCGGTGAAAAAACGGCCTTGTCGTTTCCAGGGCCCACTAAGTCCACGAGGTGTCAGAGACCAACGCCAACGTCATCGCGACGCGAGCTTGCAGGAATGCAGGGTGATGATTACGAAAGTGCCAAGGGTCGTGTTCACGCGGGGGCGCCCAGGATGATGACTACAAGAAGGGGCCCCGGCTGGGAGACGAATTGTTGATCCTTCCCCCCCGCCTCCGTCGGGCGCGCGCCTGGACGGTCGACGGGCCAGACGGAGCCGAAGCGAAGCGGAAAGCGAAGACTCGGAAGCTGTTTTGTGAATCGTCCCCCCCCCACACACTCTTCCCGTACAGTCAACCCGCATAGGAAGGATGGGCGACATTCCCAAGGGTACCCTTGCATCCTTGCCTCCTCGGTCCATCCTTGGCCGCTTTCGTTCGCCGCGCCGCGCTCGAAAAGCTTCGAAATGGGCGTCCAAGACCCTTTGCATCCTTATCGCGCATCCTTGTGGGATGGGCCGACTGCAATCGTCATCTCACATTCACGTCTTGCTCCAGCCAGGGTTGCATCGGTCTGGCCCGAGAGTTTCGGGGGCGGCAAAGAGGGGGGTGATGACTAGGGGGGGGGGATATCATGGCGCGGGCCATGGTATTTCCCCAGATTTCATGGCGCCTCTTCTTATTTCATTGCGTCCCTGGCCCCCCCGCTGGGCCGCGCACATGCCGCCGGTCATGATTTGCACCCCCCCCTCTTGGACACCACCCTCTTGGCCGCTCCCGAGAGGTGTGTCAAGAAATCCTGTCATGTTGAGGCCGCCGCCGACTTCAAGCACCAGGGAGCGGGGGGGGCGCCAGGAGGGAGCCGCCCCGCGGGCCTGGAAGCCAAGGGCCGCCATGAGGGCGCAAAATGCTATTCGCGGTTTGCGGCTCGCGCTTCCTCCCTCTCCTCCTCCTCCTCCTCCTCCTCCTCCTCCTCCTCCTCCTCCTCCTCCTCCTCCTCCTCCTCCCTCCTCCTCCTCCTCCTCCCCCTCGTCCTCCTCCTCCTCCTCCTCCTCCTCCCTCCTCCTCCCTCCTCTCCTCCTCCTCCTCCTCCTCTCCTCCTCCTCCTCCTCCTCCTCCTCCTCCTCCTCCTTCCTCTCCTCCTCCTCCTCATCATCATCATCAGCACCCTCCTCCTTCCTCTCCTCCTCCTTTCTCTCCTCCTCCTCCTCCTCCCCCTACCGCTCCTCCTCCTCATCATCATCCTCCTCCTCCTCCTCGTCCTCCGCCTCCTCCTCGTCCCCCTCCTCCTCCCCCTACTCCTGTCTTTTTCCTTAAGAATAATATCTCCCTGTCGCACCCAGAGGCCAGTTTCTCAGGGCGGCCCGGGCGTTTCGATTGAGACTTCCTCACCATGTATGATTCTGAGTCTTAAAAATTGACCACAGCTTCACATATGGAGGGCGGGTCGTTTTCAACATGTGGTTCTCGCCTTAGCTCGCTGAACATGTGTGTTAAAACTTTGCAAGGGCTTCACGCATTGAGGGCGGGTCGTTCTCAAATTGTGGTTCTCGCTTTATTGCGGTGCACATTTGGAAGAGCTCCACGGATTGAGGGCGATCCGTTTTCTACATGTGGTTCTCGCTTTAGCGCCGCGTACATTTTTTTAAATTTGCAAGAGCTGCACGGATTGAGGGCGGTTCCGTTTCAAAACGTGGTTATTGTTTTCTAGTGCCGTGCGCACTCGTTTTTACATTTTGCAAGAGTTACACGTCTTCCCATCATCAGCGTACCAGAAATTGTGTTTTGGAAGAACCCATATGTGGGTGCAACAGTTACGTTGATTCGCTCTGCTGAAGTCCCAGGAATGGCGTTCTGGTTCGATGCAGGATCATCAAGACGCAACAGTCATGTGGATCCGTGGAGTTGGAATCCCCAGAACTTGGGTCTTCAAACGGTTATCTTCCAACGAGGCAGTTCTCTCAATTTACATGAACCGTTGTAGGGTCCTATAAAGAGGGAGCTTGGTGGGAGGGTAACATCGTTGATGGCTCTTGGGTTACCACTGGTCCTCCTCATTTGCCTTCTCCTCGTCGTCCTCCTCCTCCTCCTCCTCCTCCTCCTCGTCCTCCTCCTCCCCCTCCTCCTCCTCCCCAGGCCCCCGCGCGTTCTGCAAAACTCCTGGCGGGAGGCTGTGGCCCGTTTTCGGCCGCTGGGGTGGCCCTCGCCTGGCCTCGGCCTCGGGGCCGTCCAACAAAAAGCCACTCGGGACGAACAGTTGCTCCCGGGGGAGTGGGTCCAGACGGCGGGGGGTCCACGTGACGAGAAACTCATGGCATCGGGGGTCTGGGTCCTCCTCTCCCTCCGGGAGAGCGGCGCGAGAGAGCGCGAAGCCGTTCGGGCTCCGCGCAGCGCGGGGCGCGAACCCGGCTGCCCTTGAGAACCAGCGCCTGTCCGCGACGTCATCAGCAGATGCAATTGTGAACAGATGAGGTGGGCTCTTCTGCCGACATCAGACACCAACTACTACTGAAAGGCGCAGAGGAGAAGGAATGGAGGAGCAGAAGCGGGCGGTCGCAGCGCCCAGACATCACGCGCTCGGAACGTGCCATGCGCCAAGCGCGGGGAACCCAGGAGATGGCTCAGCGTTGGGGGCTGGCGGCAGACCCTGACATCCGACGATGTGCGGCCCTCGAGGCCCAGACCGCTCCCCTGGGGCCTTCTTTCGTTACCGATCCAATGTTTGTTGGGCCCAAGGGCCCGAAAACGGGCCCTGGATATTACTCATCGAGAAAAGACGCCGGGATTGAGGCAAGTCGTGTCGTGGAAGATCTGAGGATGGCGCAGCCCTTGAGATCATCATGCCTCAACTCTTCCGGGAGCCGTCCGCCAGGCAACCCCCCCCCGGACTACGCCGACGGCACGCGGCTCTCCGTCTTCCTCAGGGAGGCTGGCGGCTTCGTCTGCCGGGTTCCCACGGGGGGAGAGAGGGCGGGAGGGACGGAAAGAGGGGTCATGATCCTTTTTCCTCCTCGTCCTTCCTGCCCATCCCCCTTTTCCACCACCTCCACCACTGGAACTTGCGCAGCTCCACCGCGCGGACCCGAGACCAGCGTCGCCAAGGCAGCAGCGCCCCGGGAGCTGCAGCTGTGCCCGCGCCCGCTGGCAGCCCGCGCACTCCTCCCCATCCCGGGAACGAAAGAGGCCCGTCATGATGGAACGGGGTCTTGAAAGCAGATGCCCTGGAGGTGCGGCGGCGTCGGCCAGGTCTTGCGGGGGAAGGGGAGGAAGGGAGGGAGGGAAGGGGAGGGGGGCTAAATCCATCGTATTCCTATTCCCAGGGCTCATGTTTCAATCCGGTCGACTCGAATCGATGTCGGATCTGGCCAGCTCGATCAGATTCGGAATCCTTGATGGCCGGCTCTATAGAGCTCCCGACCGATTATTTTGATCAGATCGTTTCCACCCCTCAGCGAATAGGAAGCACTTGCATGGCCAAAACATGTTCGGAGGTCCGCGCGGACCTCGCGCGGGCTTTCTGGGTCTAGGATCCAGGATCAAGGGTGCCAGGGTCGATGTTCGGGGTCGCGGGGATCGAGGGCCAAGGACACTGGAGAATGGAGGATCAAGGGTGTGAGGGTCGATGTTCGGGGTCGCGGGGATCGAGGGCCAGGGACAATGGAGGATCGGGCACCGAGTGTGCCGGGGTCGAGGATCGGTCGAATCGCAAGTTGCGACACATGCGACGCAGTGGTCCCAAAGGCAGGAGGGCAGCCGCGAGCGCACGACGACAGACCAGATCTCCGACGATCTCACACATATGTAAAAAATCGCATGTATTCAAGCGCGCGCGCGGGAGATGCAATATGTCGTAGTCTACGACCATGTATAATAAAAATCCCATGTAATACAAATCCCATGTAATAAAAACCTCCCTGTATGTCTTGGGTCCCAGCTTTGTTCTGAGGCTTCGGATCCCCAGGGTTCGTCATCGGGCCCCCAGGGTAAAACAACAGAATCTTGCACGGAGCATTCTTGCATTATATCCAAGGAGGGGGCCTGGTCGGGGCCGCCGGATGCCTGGGCACCTGCGAGCACACGGCGAGGATCGGGCGGAGGAGGCCCAGCACAGCACGCCGCACGTTCTTGCAGGGAAGGCATGCCACACGCGCGCCGCCGCTGGAGCTCGAGGCGCGGGGTAACGGGGAGTGCTCGAAGACAGAACAAAGGCGTAAACACAAGCTGTTGGCGCTCTGCCCGGATTTCGTGGATCCGCGCCAGGCCACCCCCCCGGCGGCGCCTCCAGCGCGATCGCCAAAAGTGTATTTGTATACCGTTTTTTCTTCGATCTGTACATATATACAGACATCTGTATATATATATATAGAGAGAGAGATGTATGTACATTGATATGTGTGTAGACATATACATACATATACATATATATATATATATGTATACATACATACATACATACATACATACATACATACATACATACATACATACATAGATACATACATACATACATACACCTAAACCTTTCTATACATATATATATATATACTTACTACACAGAAACAACCGTCAGTCACCATTCATGAGTTCACGATGCGAGGGGTCAGCATTCGAAGCAGCAGGCGATCAGGGCGGAACAGATCGCCGCAGAGGGGCGCCTGCATGGATCGACAGAGAGACTGGCCGAGACGACGGGACGCCGCGACTTCGGCCGACGAACTGGTGGCTCCCTGCAGGTCTCCAGGAAGCCTCCCTCCTCCTCCTCCTCCTCCTCCTCCTCCTCCTCCTCCTCCTCCTCCTCCTCCTCCTCCTCCTCCTCCTCCCTCTTCCTTCCATCCTGCCCAGGATGTGCGTAGCGCAGGGTGGGCGGGGGAGCGAGGCCTTCCTACCGAAAGATAGACAACGGCACCAACACACCCCTGTGGAGCTCCGCGCGGCCGTCTTGGATCTGCGGTGGGTCTCATTGGCGGCCGGCGCCGCCCTTGGCGCGCTCCGCGCGCCAGGAAAACGAGGCTCAGCGCAGATCCAAGACAGCCGCGCGGAGCTCCAAACGTGTATGTGCATACCGCTTCTTGTTCCTCCAGAGTGCGGTGGGTTCATGCGGCGTTGGCGCGCCGGCAGCGCCTGCGAAGACGTTCAAGGTTGAAGTCCTGCGACGCGGAAGCACCGAGGGACACGGCAACGCCGTTGGACCCGACGGAATTTAACCTTAAACGATCTGGGCCGCGATCGATTCAAGATTGAACGATCGTCTTTTTAAATCAAGATATATAAAGGCTAATGTTGTAGATAATAGTTTTAATATAGAAGCAGGTCGTAAAAGTTTCTGGACATCATAATCCAGGTGGATGTTCTCAGTGTCTTGAACAGAAAGCCCAATGAGCATTCCAGATGCATGTGGATGAGCATTCCAGATGCATGTGGATCATCTTCTGGCTCTTGTAAAAAATGTTTCAGATGCGGTGACAAAACCCCCAGTGCGCACCGACGCCGCACGAAGCTGCTGCAGCGGGGACGGAGGGGCAAGGGCCCCCGGGGCCCATGGTCGAGGGCCCTCGATCCTTCAACCTGGCACGCTCGCGAGGGCTCTCGGTGCTCGATCGAGGACCCTCTATCCAGGGGAACGAACAATGACAGAAACATCAAAACTCGGAGGTCCGCGCGGAGTTCTAGGATCGGCGCTGGACCCCCCTGGCGGCGCCTCCGGCGTCGCCCCTGGCGCGCTCCGCGCGCCAGGGAGGGGAGGGAAGGCGTCGGCGCTGGACACCCCTCCCTGGCGCGCTCCGACCCCCGAGTTTTTATGTCTATGTCATTGTTCGTTCCCCTGCTATCCTTAAGTCGGGCCTGTCCCCCTACAGGGGGATTTTCGAGGAAACAGAAATGATACCCCCAAAATACCGCCAAAAGGCAAAGAATACTCAACAAAAAATAGTCCCCAGACTATGTTTGACTATTTTTTGATTATGTTTGGGTTTTTTTTATTTTTCGTCGAAAATCCCCCTGTAGGGGGACAGGCCCGACTTAATACTATCCTGGAATGGGGGATCGAGGGTCCTCGATCCTCGATCCTGCGACCCAGGGGGGCCTGCGCGGCCTGGGTGGGGCGCAGGTCGTCCACAGGAAGCTCACGGAGCTCGGCGCGGCCAGGCCGCAGCACTCGCAGCTGCCGATCTCCGCCTGCTACCGCCTGAAGGACGCCACGGGACAAAACGGGTCGAGGATCCAGAGAAGGAGGAGGAGGAGGAGGAGGAGGAGGCGGAGGCGGAGGCGGAGGCGGAGGCGGAGAGGCGGAGAGGAGAGGAGGAGGAGGGGAGGAGGAGGAGGAGGAGGAGGAGGAGGAGGAGGAGGAGGAGGAGGAGGAGGAGGAGGAGGAGGAGGAGGAGGAGGAGGAGGAGGAGGAGGAGGAGGAGGAGGAGGAGGAGGAGGAGGAGGAGGAGGAGGAGGAGGAGGAGGAGGAGGAGAGGAGGAGGAGGAGGAGGAGGAGAGGAGGAGGAGGAGAGAAGGAGGAGGAGGAGGAGGAGGAGGAGGAGGAGGAGGAGGAGGAGAGGAGGAGGAGGAGGAGGAGGAGGAGGAGGAGGAGGAGGAGGAGGAGGGAGGAGGAGGGAGAGGAGGAGGAGAAGAGGAGGAGGAGGAGGAGGAAGAAAACGGCACACAGTCGTCCTGCGTGGTAAGGAAAGGATGGGCACAACCTTCCCAAGGGTGCCCCTGCATCCTGGCCTCCTCGGGCCAGCCCTGGCGGCTCTGGATGGCCCGCCTCGCCCGAGAAGCGTGCTCGTGGCCCTCCGAGGCTCTGGCGTCCTCACCGCGCATCCTCGTGGCACGGGCTGGCTGTAAGCAGGACCTCTGGGCGGGCCGCGCGGACGTCTTTCGGGAGGGGAAAAAACGCACAAAGACACAGTTAATCGTCGATTCCCCAGAAAGTATGGGGAGATATGGGAGGTGGGGGGGAAGACAAAAACCCAGAACATATGGGAAAATATGGGGAATCCTTCTATTTTTGTATATTTTTTTGTGTGTCCCAGGGCCCCTTCATTCTTGCCTCTACGCTGGGACCTCCTGGCGGCGCCTGCGGCGCCGCCCCCCGGCGCGCGCCTGCGGCGCCGGGGGGGGGGGGGTCCAGCTCAGATCCAAGAATCGCAGGCCCAGAGGTTGACACCAACACCAAGATCGGCGGTGTGCCTCCACCGAGGGAAGACGATCCCGATCTTGGCGATAGTGGTAATATTCTGGCTTCCAAGGTGACCGAAGTATTACCACCAACACCGAAATCTAGGATCATCTTCCCCATGTGGAGGCAACCCCCTGTGCTGGTGTTGGTGCTAATTTCCAGGCCTCCAAAAGAACTCCGCACGGACCGTTAGACAAGCATGCTTCTGGCGGTTCTCTGCTGCTCCCCCAGGACGGGCTGGGCGCTGCCTCTCGTGGTTCCCTCCTCCCTCTCAGACCTCCGGCGTGTATGGAACGACTCGACGCGGAGGGTTTCCATCGTTTCCGGGCCTCTGGGGGCCCTCGCCGCTCAGGGTGCGCACCCGGTCGCCCCAGGGATCCGGTCAGGACCTCCGGGGGCCGCGCACTGTAGGGAGGCAGTACTGGGATGACCGTGGGGGTTCCCAAGTGGATAGGGGGTTACAAGTGGATGACAAGGTGGGTTATATCTGGCCCAACCTGGCTCATAAGTGGGTTACAAGTGCCCTAAGGAGCTCAGGAGGGGTCGATAACTCGGCTAAGTGGGCGGAGCCCTCCTAGCCCAGATCCACTTAGGAACCCCCACGGTCATCCCAGTAGGCACCCCTGGCCCTCAGGATTCCAGACCTTCCGCGCCGAGACCGTCCACACGCGTTGCGCTTCGTGGAGCGCTCAGTGTCCTCGAGATCCCTGGGGTGCGTTCCGCAGCTTCGATGCAGCACCGCCCGCGCCGCCCGCGGAGGTCGGAGGGCCCGCCTCGTGCCCCCGCGCCCCGCGGTCGGGGCGCGCCTGCTCCCGAGCGGGGCGAGCGGCTGGCCCCCCCCTGTGGGGGCCCGCCCCCTCGCCGAGCCTGGACCGGCGGCGAGCGGAGGGGGAGGGATCGGGGGCCTTGAGGCGGGGGTCAATGCAAACGGGGGGTCAGCCAGAGCGCCCGATCTTGCAGGATCCTGCAGGGCCAGGGCCGCATTGACCCGGGCTTGGGAGTAGGATCATGCAGGATCGTGCAGGATCCTTCGCATTGACCCGGGTTTGGGCGCAGGATCTTGCAGGAGTTTGCGGGATTCCGCAAGGCCTGACTGACCCGGGTCTGGATTGACCCGGGTCAGATGATCCCCGAAGGGAGTGAGGATCGAAGAGAAGAAACAACCACATAAACAGACACGCCGGTCGCTGAAAGCAGGTATTTTCAAGATGCCCAGGTCCCAATCTAATGCAAGCGCCTTCCTACTTCAAGAATCGACGCGCTCTTGCTGTGTTTTGTTCTTCCCTGGGGCGGCCTGGACCCAATCAACTTAATCCGCCTTCATACCTGATGTTTTTACCTACTTCTTCCGACCGACGTGTAAACTTTTGGCGCTCCGCACGGATTTCTTGGATCCGCGCTGGCCCCCCCCGGCGGCGCCTCCAGCGCCGCCCCTGGCGCGCTCCGCGCGCCAGGGAGGAGGGTCCCGCTCGGAGCGCCAAAAGTTTGTGTTTGTGTGGTTTTTTTTCGCTTCTCTAGAGAAGGAGAGGGCATTCTCAGAAGGCGTCGGGACTTCTCAGACGCCCTCGCGCCTTCAGAGAGGTCTTCTGCGTCTTCGGGGCAGGCTCAAAACAAGCTGGTCAGAAGGCCGGGGAGCTGCTGCGCCCTCCGATGAGGCCCGCCCCTGCTCGCTTCCCCCTGGGCGCGCCGCCTACTTGAGGCGGGGGCGCGATGCAAACGGGGGTCGGCCAGGGCGCCCGAGCTTGCAGGATCTTGCAGGAGGGAAAGAAACACAGAGACACAATTGATCGTGGATCCCCAAAAAATATCAGAAAATATGGGAAGTGGGGGGGACAGCGAAAACCCAGAAAATGTAGAGAAATACAGGGAGTCTTTCTATTTGTGTGTATCTATGTGTGTGTCCCAAGGCCCCGTCAATCTTGCAGGGCCAGGGGCGCACTGGCCTGGGCCAGGGCGCAGGGCCCTGCGGGATCCTGGAACGCCTGCCTGGCCCGGGTCTGCATTGCCCCAGGCCGCTATAGATCAGAGCGTGAGTTACCTACCCCGCTTTCGCTTCCAGGCAAAACCAAGCCATACCACGCGCCTCCTCGTCAAGCGGCCTGACCAGTACAGGCTGCAATTTGGCATCGTTTGGTATCTCTTGGAAGCGAGGGTGGTCAAAAGCGAGGTAGGTTTGTTTTCCCCCTAATAGATGCCCGGCGCCCGAGGACCCGGCCGACCCCGACAGCAAGGTGAACATCTTCTTGAACGAGTTCAACCACGCGAGGTGCCACGGCGGCCTGCCTGCAGGCCAGGCCTCCTCGCGCGCTCCTCCCGGTGCCGAGCTCTCTACCTCCATCATCCATGCCTTCCGACCTCTGCGGAAGGCGCGGAAGGTGATGCACTGAAACGATGGAAAGCCGCAGGAAGCGCAAGAGAACTCGGCGTTTTACGCAGCGCAAGGGTGTGGAAGGTCAGCACGGAAGGTCTGGAAGAAGGAGGGCGAGGGAGGAGGAGGAGGAGGAGAGAGGAGATATGAGCAGCGACCTGAAGAGTGAGGGCGGGAAGGGAGGAGGAGGAGGAGGAGGAGGAGGAGGTCTGGAAGAGTGAGGGCGAGGCGAGGCGAGGCGAGGCCTGCTTTGGGCTCGGGGTGTCCAGCACGGGCCGCGCAGTATATAGCAGCCGCCGGGCGAGGGGCGGGTTGCGCAGCCCACGCGAGCGCCCCTCTCTTGGATGGCCTCGGGGCGCCTCCTTCCCTGCATTCTAGGCTTAAGTCGGGCGTGTCCCCCTGCTGAGGGATGTTCGACGAAGAATTATAAAAAACACCGAAGTACCCCAAAAAGGTCGAACAATAGTAAAAAAAATAGTCCCCGGACTATGTTTGGATTATTTTTTGATTATTGAATCGCTTCGCTCATTCCGCCGGCCCGTGATATGGCATCGCTGGTTTTTGTCTGTGTGTTCGTTGCCCATGTTGCGCTCTTGGGGGCGGGTGTCGTTCGGACGCGTTGCGTGGGGAGTTTTGATGGTGAAGCAGTTCCCTGGGGGTCGTCTCTCGATGGGGCGAAATAGAGTCGTCGTCAAGATGCTTCTTTGGGGGGCCTCTTGGGGTCTGTTGAGAGGCCGTTCGGGGGCGCCTGGGAGACATGTTTGAAGCCTTCTGGGGCTTCTTTTGGGCCTCCTGGGAGTCTCCTGGGGCCTCTTGGCGACATCTTGGGGCCTCTTGGAGGCCTCTTGGGGCCTCTTTGGGACCTCCTGGGCGCCTTCTGGGACGGAGGGCTCCATTTTTGAGTTCTCGGTATCCCTCCTGAGTCCCTCTTGGGCCCGTCTTGGGGCCTCTTGGTCCGTCTTGGGCGGCACTTGGGCCGTCTTGAGGGCTCTCTTGGGTCGTTTCGGCGCCGTCTTGGGAGCTTCGTGGGCCGTCTTGGAGCGGTCTTGGGGGCCTCTTGGGCCGTCTTGGAGCGTCCGGAAGCCGAAAAAGCCAGAACACAAAAAACATCGAAAAAACCAATGAAAATCAACGATTTTGGCCTCTTGGGGCTCTCTTCGGAGGCCTCTTGGAAGGCTCTTGGGGCGTCTTGGAGGCCTCTTGGGCTGTCTTGGGGGCCTTTTGGGCCGTCTTGGGGTCATCTTCGGCGTCTTCGAGCGCTCTTTGGGCGTCTCGGGGGCCTCTTGGGCAGTCTTGGGGGCCTCTTGGGGCACTCTGAGCGCGCTCTGGGGAGCCTGAGAGGCCGCACCAGAAGGAAAACCATCTCTGAGTAGACTTGGTCGGCGGCGGTCGGGCGGCGGTCGGGCGGCGACCGGGGCGGCGACCGGGCGTTGGTCGGGGTACTTTTCGCCGGGGGACCCCCAGGGGCCGCCCCGCGCGCGCGAACTAGAAATACTGTTAATACTGTTAACCAGTTACCGGAGATCTTAGCACGCCCTGGCCCGTTGGGCCGGCGAATTTTGGGGGTATTTTTTTTCCGTCGAAAATCCCCCTGTAGGGGCACAGGCCCGACTTAATTCTAGGCCTCCGAGGTAGGGCCGGAGGATCGCGTCGCATCGCGGCTGCATCGACGCTGCGGCTCGATGTGGAGCCCGTGTTTCCCCACGCCGACGTCGCCGAGGCATCGCCGACGTCGCCGATGCATCGCCGATGCATTGGCGATGCGGCGCGATCCCCCGACCCCACCTACTCGGACCCCATCTAGGAGGCCTCTAATGGATCTTCCGTGGCTAGGGCGAAACTTGCTGGGAGAGGCAGCAGGAGAAGGAGGAGGAGGAGGAGGAGGAGGAGGAGGCGGAGGAGGAGGAGGAGGAGGAGGAGGAGGCGGAGGAGGAGGAGGAGGGAGGAGGGCCCCGTCTAAGAGGCCTCCGTGCACCCAGACCTCCCGCCGCGCTCCCACGCTCCCGCCGCGCCGCGGGCCCTCTGCGCGTATCCTCGGCGGCCCCTCCCGCGCCCGGTCCTGCGCCCGGGCTCCTGCCCCGGACCCATGCACTCGGGGAGCAAAGATAGTCCAAAAATACGCCAAATATTGTCCAAAAGCAGTCTCTGGGGATTATTTTTGGTGCATTGATTTTACCTTTTTGGGGGTATGTGTGGGTCTTGTATAAGGCGGGCGTGTCCCTCTGCAGGAAGGATATTCAGGGGAGCAACAAGTGGCATAAACAGAAACACTCGGAGGTCCATGCAATCGGGGAACAAAAAGTGACATAAACACACACACACACACAAAGGGGCCCTGGGACACACAAAGAAATTGACGCAAAGAACCAGATCCCCCATGGTTTCCCATATATTTTCTGGGTGCTTGTGTTCCCCCCCGCTGCCCATACTTTCCCACATTTTCTCCTGGGAGTCGAGTGACATAAACAGAAAAGCTCGGAGGTCCGCGCGGATTTCTCGGATCGGCGCTGGGGCCCCCCTGGCGGCGCCTCCGGCGCCGCCCCTGGCGCGCTCCGCGCGCCAGGGAGGGGGGTCCAGCGCCGATCCGAGAACTCCGCGCGGACCTCCGAGTTTTGATGTTTGTGTCACTTCTTGCTCCCCTAATGCATGGCCGCGTCGTGGAACAAGATCACGGCGGGAGGCGTTTGGTGATCGTTTTCATTCATTGTTTTGCCGATCGGCGCGGGCCCTCGCACCCCCTCTCCTTTTCCCCCCCCGTCCATGGAGTAGATCTTGGCTGGCGCCTGCTCAGGCAGGCGGAGTCCCTCCCAGGGGGCGCACGGTTCCAAACAGTCGCACTGAGCAGAGGTCCGGAGCCAGACCCCCCCCCTCCCCCTCCCTTCCTCCCAATGTCGAAACGCCGAATAAAAACAGCGCTCACCATTTTCAGCCTCCGGGGGCCCTGGCCGGACCCCAGGACCGCCAATCAAGGGAGGAGAAACCACCGGGACCCGATAATTGGCGTTTGCTAAACGGCCCTGGACATTTACTAAACAGCTTTGCCCTGTTCGATTTCTGCTTTGGGTGCGTTTACCAAACGGCTTCGCGTGTCGGGGTGATTGGTAGGAGGGTGGGTGTTCTACTCTCTAGTCCAAAAGCGACTCAGGATGCAGAGCTGGTTCCGGGGGAAAGCGTCGGGACTTCGGTCCGCGTGTTGACAAAGCTCAGGACGCCGCATGTCCTTGGAGGTCCTGGCGCCCGAAGGCAGGGCCCGTGTCGACCCGAGCGGTCCGACTCGAGAAGAGGTCCCAATCGTCGCATGGCGTCGTCGCGCCTCTGGGCGCAGTGGATCCGATCCAGTGTCGGCTCCGTGCCAATGCAGCCCGAGTTGATGCCTGCTGCGATCCGGTCCGGCTTTGTGATTCGATGCTGGCCGATCCTGGAGAGCAGGTTTGGGTCCAAAGTGTGGAGCAGTCAGAAAATTCTGGCCACGCGCAGAAGGGGGTAGGGGGAGGGGGGAAGGCTTCTTAGAAGCACCCCTGCTTCTTAGAAGGCGCGGGCCTTCTTTGTAGATGTAAAGCCGGCGCCTTCTAAGAAGCAGCCTCCTTCTAAGAAGCCTTCCCCCCTCCCCCTACCCCCTTTTGCGCGCCGCCAAAAATTCGTCGTTGTGATGCCTGTCGCGACGCTGGCGGTCTGCGGCCGTTGCTCGTCCCCTGCCAATCGGCGACGCGCCGACGGGGCCCGCGAGAGGGGGCAGGACTCTCAGCAGGAGGCCGGACTGTGGAGGAGGCTCAGAAAGCTTCTCAGCAGGTCGAAGGCCTTCTGAGCAGTCCCGCCCCCTCTGTTTTCTCCCCTGGGCGCGCCGCCAGCTCGCCCGCTGCCGCGACACACAAAAACCGCTCAACCCCAGCGGATTACGACGAGGAGGTGAGGCGGTACAAGGTATTCGCCAAGGCTGGCGCTCGCCTTTGTTCTTGCGGGTTGTGCTGCTCTCCTCCTCCTCCTCCTCCTCCTCCTCCTCCTCCTCCTCCTCCTCCTCCTCCTCCTTCATCTCCTCCTCCTCCACTTCCTCCAGCGGTGGATCGTCATGAGGACCCTTGCGGGCGGGTGGCACACCAGCTACCGCATGCATGCTCTCGCTGTGCGGCATGCCTGTGTTTTTGGATGCGGAGAAGGGCGCGACGAGGTCAGCCACTACCTGCAATGCCGTCATGCCCTTCACTGGCTGCCTCGCCCTCGACAATTCCTTCATGGTGATCTTCTGCATCGTCTCGGGCTCGCCGGAGATGAGGCTTACCACGACGATCCACGGCACGAACACTCCAGGTTCACAGCAATGCGCAACCTCGTGTTGCTCTATTACCTATACCTAGAGGTCAAGCCTACGGCTTCGTCTACAAGATCACCTACTTCCACATACTCCATGCACAAGACCTGCCACAGGGTCGCCCTGGACAGGCTTAGCAACAACTTCTGAGTCTGGCCCCGCCCGCCGGCCGGCCAGGCGAACCACATGCGGGCACTGGCGTTCCTCCACTTTGTCCTCCTCCTCCTCCTCCTCCTCTCCTCCTCCTCCTCCTTCTCGACGTCCTCCTCCGCCTCCTTCTCCTCTCCTTCTCCTCTCCTCCTCCTCCTCCTCCTCTTCCTCCTCCTCCTCATCCTCGTCCTCGTCCTCGTCCTCGTCCTCCTCATCAGCATCAACATCAGCATCAGCATCATCATCATCGTCAGCAGCATCAGCGTAGGCATCAGCGTCAGCATCAGCATCATCATCATCATGCTCCTGCTCCTGCTCCTCATCCTCCTCCTACTCCTCCTCCTCATTATCCTTCTACTCCTCCTCCTCCCCCTCCTCCTCCTCCTCCTCCTCCTCCTCCTCTCCCTCCTCCTCTTCACTCTTCCCCTCTTCAGCTTTATATTAGCTATCTCCCACCTCCTGCTCGGAGGGAGGAGGAAGGAGGAGGGAGGAAAGAAAAGGGAGGAGGGAGGAAGGAGGAGGAGGAGGAGAAGGAGGAGTAGGAGGAGGAAAAGAAGGAGGAGGAGGAGGAGGAGGAGGAGGAGAAGGGGGAGGGAGGAGAAGGGGGAGGAGGAGGAGGAGGAGAAGGAGGGAAAAGGAGGGAGAGGGCGGAAGGAGAAGAAGGAGGATGACGAGGAGGAGGAGGAGGAGGAAACGGAAGAGGAGGAGGAGGAACATGACGGGGAGGGAGAGAGAGGGTGGAGGATGAGGGAGAGAGAGGGTGGAGGAGGAGGGAGAGAGAGGGAGGAGGAGGAGGAAGAGGAGGAGAGGGAGGGGTTGGAAAAGGAGGAGGAGGAGGAGGAAAAGGACAAGGAAACGACGGAAGAAGAGGAGGAGGAGGGGAGGGGCGGGGTGGGGCGGGGCGGGGCGGGGCGCGGTGGGGCAGGGCAGGACGGGAGGGGAGGGGAGGGGAGGGGAGAGGAGGGGAGGAGATGGGAAGGGGAGGGAGGGGAGGCGAGAGGGGGGAGGAGAAAAGGCGTTCTTGTGTCTAGGTGGGGGGCTCGGTGCTCCCATTGGGTGCTTCTGTGTCCCAGTGTATGTGTATGTGTGTTGGAGTGTACCGATGAGCGTGCCTGAGAGAGCCTCTTAGGCCTCTGACAGAGCTTCTTGGGCCTTTGGGTGAGCCTCTTATGCCTCTGAGAGGGCCTCTCGGGCCGCTGGGAGAGCCGCTTGGGCCTCTGAGAGAGCTGCCTGGGCCTCTGAGAGTGCCCCTCTGGGCCTCTGAGAGGGCCTCCTGGGCGTCTGAGAGGGCCTCTTGGGCCTCTGAGAGATCCTCTTGGGCAGCTGAGAGAGCCCCCTGGGCCTCTGAGAGAGCCTCTTGGGCCGCTGGGCGAGCCGCTTGGACCTATGAGAGAGCCGTTTGGGCCTCTGGGAGAGCCTCTTGGGCCTCCGGGGGGGGGCTCTTGAGTGCCCGAGAGAGCCTCTTGCGCCGTTTCCTCTAGGGCATCTGAGAGGGCCTCTTGGGCCTTTGATGGAGCCGCTCGGGCCTCCGAGAGCGCGTCTTGGGCCTCCGGGGCAGCCTCTTGGGCCTTCGAGAGGGCCCATTGGGCCTCTGGGAGAGCCCCTTGGGCCTCTGAGAGGGCCTTTTGGGTCTCTGAGAGAGTCTCTTGGGTCTCTGAGAGAGCCTCTTGGTCCTCTGAGAGAGCCTCTTGGGCCGCTGGGAGAGCCCCTTGGGCCTCTGAGAGAGCCCCTTGGGCCTCTGAGCGAGCCTCTTGGGCTTCTGAGGGGGCCCCATTGGGCTTCTGAAAGGGCCGCTTGCTACTCTGAGAGAGCAGCTGGGGTCTCTGAGAGGGGTCTCTGAGAGCCTCTTAGTTCTCTGAGAATGCCTCGTGGGCCCCTGGTAGGGCACCCTGTGCCTTTGAGAGAGCCCTCAGGGCCTCTCGGAGAACCTCTTTTTGGGCCTCTGAGAGGACCTTTTGGGTCTCGGAGATATTCCCTTGGGCCTCTGAGAGAGCTTTTAGGGCCTCAGAGAGCCCCTTTGGGCCTCTGAGGGCGCGTCTTGGGCCTCTGACAGGGCCCCCTTGTGCCTTTGAGGGGGCCCCCTGGGCCTCTCAGGGAGCCTCGCGGGATTCTGAGGGGGCGTCTTGGGCCGAGAGGGCCTTTTCGGGCGTCTGAAAGGGCCTCTCGGGCCTCTGATGGAGCCGCTCGGGCCTCTGAGAGAGCCTCGCGGGCCTTTGAGAGGGCTCGTTGGGCCTCTGAGAGGGCCTCTTGGGCCTATGAAAAAGGTTTTGGGGCCTCTGGCAGGGCCTCTTGGTCCTCGAAGTCGACTCACCAAGAAGCCCGCATGTGACCGCAACTCGATTCCCACACTAAGATTGGATTCGTCTCACAATACGAAATGCATAGAGAAGGGAGGAGGATGATGAGGAGGAGGAGGAGAAGGAGGAGGAGGAGGAGGAGGAGGGGAAGGGGGAGGAGGAAGAGGAGGAGGAGGAGGAGGACGAGGAAGAAGAGGAGGAGGGAGGAGGGAGAGGAGGAGGAGGAGGGGAGGATGAGGCGGAGGAGGAGGAGGAGGAGGCGGGGGAGGAGGGGGAGGAGGAGGAAGGAGGAGGAGGAGGACGAGGACCAGCAGGAGGAGGAGCAGCAGGAGGAGGAAGGGAGGAGGAGGAGGAGGAGGAGGAGGAGGAGGAGGAGGCGGAGGAGGAGGAGGAAGAGGAGGAGAAGGAGGGAGGCTGAGGAGGAAGACGAGAACGAGACGAGGACGAGGACGAGGAGGAGAAAGAGGAGGAGGAGGAGGAGGAGGAGGAGGAGGAGGAGGAGGAGGGGAGGTGAAGGAGGAGGAGAAGGAGGATCAGGAGGAGGAGGTGGTGGTGGAGGAGAAGGTTGGTTGGTTAGTTGGTGACCTCCCAGCGAGGTGGCATGTTGGGATTGGCTGCGGGGGCCAACCGGCGACCGACAGCAACCCCGCAACGTCAGCCCAGGGATGTAGGAAACCACTCTCAGGAAGCAGCCCTGGGAGAGAGGGGGAGGGTACGAGGACTTGCGTGCCACCGTGCCCAAACCTCCCTCAATTTCCCAGGCTCCCTCTGGGGAGGTGCCACGCCCAGAACCGGAAGGCTAGATTTGGGCATTCCTGGGGAAGGGGCATCAGCGGCCCTCCGGCAGGGATCCTCGCCCCGTCTCGACTCCATCCTACGCCAACGCACGACGTAGGTACGAGGCCAGCCGGATGGAGGGAAAGAGCATCAGAAGGGGGGGGGGCACGCGCAGCCGGCCCATCCCAAAAGCCATCCTCCCGAGCCACGACCGGCCCCATGGGTCCACGCCGAGGTCCAGGTCGGCGCCCGACCCCCCTCGCCACACTCCGGAAACAGCCGCAACAGCCCCCCCCCCGCGCAGAGCGCTGGGGAGGAGGCGCGGGGCGCGGGGAGGGGGGCCCAACGCCGACCCAGGAACTCCACACAGACCTCCAAGAGGGAACCGACCAGGAGAGGGAGGAAGGAGGGAGGGAGCGAGGCAAGGAGCGATCCAACCTCCGCTCCACTAGGGCCCACCCCGAACAAAAAAGAGGCCCGAAGCGCACGCCGGCGGGCATGGAGGCACTCCCCCGACATCCCCGGGCAGCCAGCCGCGCCCGGCGGCCACCGAGGCGGGCCCAGCGGCCCTCCAGGGCCTCCCGGGCAAAGGCCTGCTTGGTACTTCAAAAACTGCTCGGGGAGCCCCAGCAGGGCCACGCCGCGCCCCGGGGCCACCGCGCCGGGTTCAGCAGCCCCTGGGCAGTTTTTCCAATTCCAAACAGGCCCGTGTGGCACCAAAACTTGCCCAGGGGCAGGAGGCGACCAGGGGCCCCCGATCTGGCGGCGGAGCTCGGGGGCGAAACCCGGCGGACCGCTCTCACGGTTCGGCAAGGAAAGGCGACGCCGCAGACGCCGACGACGGCGACGACAACGACGACAGCGGGAGCGTCGGCGGCGCCAACGCCGACGACCACGGCAGCGGCGGATGGACAACCATAGCAATGGCGACGAAGACAGCACGGCGGCAACAGCAACGACGACGGCACCGCAGACGCCGAAGGCGACGGCACGGACCCACCCCACCCCAGCCCATCCCACCCCAGCGAGGACCAGAAGAGAAGGAGGGAGGAAGAAGCAGGGGCGGCTGAGAGGCCCAGGCGAGACATCTCCGAAACGCCCTCTCGATCGCGCTCCCCAAAGGCAAGAGGCACTCCGGGTCGCACGGGCAGCCGATGCAGGAGTGGACGCCGTGCCGTGCAAAGGCAGAAGAGTCGGACAGGAGGAGGGAGGACGAGGAGCAGAGGCCCAGGCCTCACCAACCCAGCCCAGCCCGATCCTGCAGGGCTGGGAGGGAGGGAGGAGGAAGGAGGAGAGAGGAGGTTCAAGGGAGGAGGCTGGAGGGAGGTGGAAGGTGGAGGAGGAGGACGAGGAGGAGGAGGCGGGACGGAGGGTGGGAGGTCTGGGCGCTCCAGGCCGCCGCCGCGGCGGCCGCGGCGCGGTGGAGAGGAGCACGCCCTCCTCGTCGCAGTGTTAAGTCGGGCTTGTCCCTCTACAGGGTGAATATTCAAAAATAGGGAGAAAAGAAGTCAGGGGACTATTTTTTAGTATTCTTGATCATTTGGGGGCATTTTTGCGGTGTTCTTTCTTCTTCGTGGGGCAGGGGCGGGCCCCGCTGCCACGCCGAGTCGGCGCGCGCTCCGGGGGGGCCCGGGCGCCTTCCACCGCGGGCGGAGAATATGCCGATGCATCAGCGGCCTCAACGGTAACACCTTCTATCGGGAGGGGAGGAGGGGGAGGAGGGAGGAGGAGGAGGAGGAGGAGGAGGAGGAGGAGGGAGGAGGAGGAGGAGGAGGAGGAGGGGGAGGAGGAGGAGGAGGAGGAAGAGGAGGAGGAGGAGGAGGAGGACGACGAGGAGGAAGAGGAGGAGGAGGAGGGAGGAGGAAGAGGAGGCAGAGGAGCCCTTGGGCCGCGACCCCGCGGCCGCGCGCGATTCCTGAGGAGCGACGGAGAGAAAAGTGCACGAACGTAAAGTTTCGACGCTCCGCGCGGGCGTCGGGCGCCTCCTCCTCCTCCTCCTCCTCCTCCTCCCCCTCCTCCTCCTCCTCGTCCTTCTCCTCCTCCGCCTCCTCCTCCTCCTCCTCCCGATCGGCGCCAGGGCCCCCTTGCGGCGCCTCTTGCGCCGGCCCTGGCGCGCTCCGGGGGGCTCGGCGCAGATCCAAGAGGTCCACGCGGACCGTCGGGTGTTCATGTGTATGCAGCTTCGTGTTCCCTAAGATGGGGTCCGAACATGTGGGGTCCGAGGATCGCGCCGCATCGCCGATGCATTGGCGATGCGGCTGGATGTGGAGCCTGATTTTTTCTCCACGTCGACGGTGCCGATGCATCCATCGGCGATGCGGCGATCCTCCGACCCCATCTACTCGCACCCCATGTGGGAGTTCTCTAGTTGCCAAGTGAGGCGGCACTGGCTTCAAGTTTCGGGGGGTACCTCCCCGATCCCTGAGTCTGGCGCCCGCGCGCCAAATCCGCGCATCAGCGCTCAGCTCGTCGCTCCGCCAGTTCTGGACCAGCACGCGGCGGCGGGAAACGCCAGCCACCTCCCAGTCCCCAGGCTGCAGCGCCCCGAGGCTTCCGGGCTTCCCGCCCCACGGAGCTGAGCAGCACGCTAATTAGCGTGTCTCGGGGGCCGCCGCCGCGGCACGCCAAGCAAGAGTTACCGCGCCTCCGGCGTGATGCTGGATGTCTGTCCGCGACGTCGGGTGAGGGGAAGGATGAGGAAGAGACAGAGGACGGAGAGGACGACCACGGCGGCAGCGGCGTCGACGAAGAGGAAGACCAAGGCAAATACGACGACGAGGACTCAGACGAAGACTACGAAGACGAAAATGATGGCTCAGCCGACGAAGACGTCGACGACGACGACGACGGCGACGATGATGACGACGACGGCGACGATGACGACGACGACGACGACGATGGCGGGGGCGACGGCGACGACGACGGCGGCAGCGGCGGCGACAACGACAAAGGAACGACATCGACAGTAGCGACGAACGAACGACGCCGACGCTGACGCCGCCGACGACGACACCGCCGACGACGACGACCACTACCACGACCACGACGACGACGACCACGAAGGCGACGGCGTCGACGACGTTGACGACGGTGGCGGCGGCGACGACGACGACGACACCGACGGCGGCGACCACGAACGAACGACGCCGACGACTAGCGCTGGAGGCGAAGTACTCTTTCATCTACACCATCACCGGCAGGCGGGCGGACGCGCTGGAGGGCCCGGTGCCGAGGGTGGCGGACGAGAATGGCAGAGAGCTGTTCTTTTGGTCGCGCCTTGGGCAACGGGGGGGGGTCCTCCTTCTCGTCCTCTTCCTCCTTTTCCTCCTCCTGTCCCTCCTGGATGGATCCTCGGAGAGGGCCTTGCTGGGGTCTACAGGGGGGGGGTCGCTCGCGAGTCCGTACTTTCGCGCGTCCTCTGCGCGACCTTCGCGTGGGCTTTTGTGTGACCGCGCCGATTGGAGGCCAAACTGCGCTAGGGTGGCGTCGGCATGTGCGCCCAGGCAATATCACGTCAGGTGCGCACGATGATGGCCCGCGTCGTCCTCGGACCTTGGTGCTACAGGCCACCACCATCTTGGTGGTCACAGTCCTCTCCATCACCATCAGCATCCGCGTCGTCAAGATAAGCCCCTAACGGATCCAAATCTCCCGCTCCAAATCCATCGTTACCTTTAAGTCGTGTTTGTCCCTCTACAGAGGGAAATTCAAAAATAATCCAAACATAGTCTGGGGACTACTTTTTTTTAGACCATGTTTGAATATTTTGGGGTACCGTTGGAGTATTTGTTTTATTTGTCGTCGAAACTCCGCCTGTAGGGGGACAGGCCCGACTTAACCTTGGCATCTCCCCCTTCCTCCGCCCCGGGAGGGAGGAGGCCCGCAGGTCCGACATGCAGTCCCTCATATCGGAGGACGACGACCGCATGGCGTCCCACAACTTCCTGCAGGCGGGCGCGGCACGGCACCGGTGACCCTGGTGCAACTCCTGGGAGGTCACATTCTCACATTGCCCTGGTTCGTAATCCGGCTCAGTCCCGGCGAACCCGGCTTAATCTGAAGACGGGTCTGTCCCCCTGCAGGGGGAATATCCATCAACAGTCCAAAAATAGTCTGGGGATTTTTGTTTTACAAGTTTGAGCATTTTTTGGCAATTGATTTTTTTTTCGCCCAAGATTCGCCTGTAGGGGGGCATGCCTGTTAATCCCGCTTAATCCCGTTTTATTCGCGCCCGAATCCGGCGTAGCAGCCCCCCAATGGGGCTTGATTCTCTTTAATCCATCCGACGACGACCTCCCAGTAGTTGCCTCCAAACAGTGAGGTGATCGGACGGGGCCAGGAGAGGATAAATCAGCTCCAGAGCGTTCCCGGACGCTCTCAGAGCATCCCGGAACGCTCTGAGAAGGCCGCGGCGCGAGACATCCTCCAGAACCGCCGGATCTCAGAGATTCTCGATTTTTCCTCGCCCGATTTGGTCCTCGTCGTGGCTTCGTCTTAGCCTAAGTATCCCTAATCCGACGAATCCTGCAGAGCCAGGGTCGCACTGACCCGGGCTCGGGTGCAGAACCCTGCAGGATCTTGCAGGATCTTTCGCGTTGACCCGGGCTTGGGCGCAGGATCTTGCAGGATCTTGCAGGATTCTGCAAGGCCTGACTGACCCGGGTCTGGATTGACCCGGGTCAGAAGATCCCTGTTTATGAGGACCTTCATGCACGCAGAAACAGATAACTCCCTCCACCTCTTGCTCGGTGCCCGGCTCTTCGCTCGTCTCCGTCGTTGTTGTGGTGATTGTTGGTGTTGTTGTTGGTGGTGGTGTTGGTGCTGTTGTTGTTGCTGGTGGTGGTGTTGTTGTTGTTGTTGGTGTTGGTGTTGCTGTTGCTGTTGTTGGTGGTGTTGTTGCTGTTGTTGGTGGTGGTGGTATTATTGTTGTTGGTGGTGGTGTTGTTGTTGCTGTTGTTGGTGTTGGTGTTGGTGTTGGTGGTGTTGTTGTTGGTGTTGGTGTTGTTGTCGTCGTTGTCATCGTCGTCAGGAGGGGCTCCATGGGAGCCAGCCCCCCACCGCGGCGCGTGTCGTAGGTATGCGCAGCAGCCACCAGAAGCGTCAATGTGTGCAGCGGTTATGTGGCTATCCCTGGACACCTCTCACAACTATATGATGATAGTTTCTCGCATTTCTGATTGCGTGCCGACAGGATGCAAGGCAGTTTATTTTCACAGCGGGGGCCTGTCCGAACTGGCCGGCCAAGGCGCGCTGGTCTTGCAATGGTAGCGGAGGGGGCGTAGGAGGGGAGGGCGTATTCCAGCATCGCTAAAGTATCTTGGGGGAACTGCGGTCATCCTCCTCGTCCTCGTCGTTCCTCCTCCCCCCCTTTGCCCCCAGTTCTTTTCCCCCGCACCTTCCTCTCCCGTCGTTCCCCCCCCCCCTGCGGGGAACTCATCCGCTTCCTCCTCCTCCTCCTCCTCCTCCTCCTCTTCCTCCTCCTCTTCCTCCTCTTCCTCCTCCTCCTCCTCCTCCTCCACCTCCAGGGGGGTGGGAGGCCCCCCCCCCACCCCCTCCTCCTCCACTTCCTCGTCCTCCTCCGCCACATTCTCCTCCACCTCCTCCTGGCTCTCGGGGGCGCCCAAGAGGGGGACCAAGACTGGGGGGAGGGAAGGGGGGTCACTGCCAGGGCCACGGAATCTTCCCGATGTCGTGGGCCCTTGCTCCTTTGTCGGCGCGTTCCCTGCCCCCCCCCACCTCGACAGCGCACACGACTCGAGCCGTGACACGGTGAACCCCGTCTCCTGGCCCCCCATCGTCGGCGCACCCGATACTTCCCAGACGACCTCCTCGCGTCGCGAAAAAAAAACGCGACGGAGGGTGTTCAACAATGTTCGGCCTCCGAGAGCCTTTGCCGGGCCGCAGGGCCGTTAAGTGCGGTTCGGGATGGACATTCGGTCCTTGGGGAACTGTCGAGACCTCTCGGTACCCACGCTGTGAGGAAGTCACGACGTCGGAGATCCAGGTCCCGTTCTCCACTCCTTCTTCCCTCTCCCCCCCATCCCCTCCCTGGCCGACAGGGCAACCTCATATTGGGGGAGCCCGGCTCGGGGAAGTCGTGCGTCCTGTGCAAGTTGGCCATGCACTGCCTCAGCAACTCGACCATGCTGCTGCCGGCGCCCAGGGAGACAGATGGTCCTTCTCCTTCTCCTCCCCCTCCCCCTCCTCCTCCTCCTCCTCCTCCTCCTCCTCCTCCTCCTCCTCCTGCTCCTCTTACTCCTCTCTCCTCTCTTCGCTACCTTACCTAGTGTCGGGCGAAGAGAATTATGCACATGCACCGATCCTGGCAAGGCCCATCCTTGACCCATGATCGGTGCATATGCCTTCCTGGCCAAGGTAGGAGGGCATATGCACCGATCCTGGGCTCAGGATGGGCCTGGCCAGAATCGGTGCATGTGCATAGTTATGTTTCCTCTATAGTGGTAGGGGAGAGGGTGGAGGGTGGAGAGAAATTGTTCCTCTCCACTCTCCATTATTCAGGGGCATCCTTTTTAAATGGATGCCCCTGGATAATACCCTAACGCTCGCATCCCGCGTGTCCTTCTTCACTCCGCTCCCCCTTCCCCTCTCCTGGAGGATAGAAGGGAGTACGACGAGCAGAAGGGAGAGGAGCAGTGTGACGAGTACGAGTATGAGCTTGAGGAGAGGGAGTAGAGATGAGGCTGAGCACGGTAACACTGATGATGGAACATTTACAGAATTGCAAGAACGATGGAGGAGGAAGGATGTTGAGGAGGAGGAGGAGGAGGAGGAGGAGGAGGAGGAGGAGTTGGAGGGATGCTTGCTTGGCGGGAAGTCTGCCGGAAAGGGTGGGAAGTGGCGGGGGGGATGATGCACGAGGCGGAGGAGGGGTCCGTTGGAGACTGAGAGCCGGTGAAACGGAGAGAGGGAGAGAAGCCGAGGAGGAGCAGGAGGAGGACGCGGAAGAGGAGGAAGGGAGGGGGACGCGGACGGGGACGAGGACGAGGACGAGGGCAAGAGGAGGAGGAGGAGGAGGAGGAGCAGGAGGAGGACCATTGCCAACCCAAGACTCATCAACGATGTTGAAATAACACCTTCCCTCCAAGATCCCGCTCCATGGGCTCCTACACAGGGTCATTTCCATTGTGGGGATTGCCCCGCTGGGGGACAACCTTGCGAACATTTTGAAGCGTACCAAAACATCATTCTCAGGACTTCGACGCCACGAGTTAACTTGGTTGGTACGTCTTGGCAATCCTTAGTGGTACCAGAACACCCACTCCTGGGACTTGAACACTGCGAATCAACGTAACTGTTGCGACCTGACAATCCGGAACCGCTTCAAAACACAGTTTCTGGTACGCTTACTATGAGAATACGTGAAACTCTTACGATATGTTAAAACGAATGTGCGCGGCGTTGAGGCGAAAGCCACGAACAAAAATCACCCGCATCAATCCTTGAAGTTCTTCCAAACTTATACACCAATGTTCGCGGCGTTACGGTGAGAGCCACTTGTTGAAAACGAACCGCCCTTAACCCGTGAATCTCTTGCAATTCAATTTGCTCAGACGAGTGCCCGCGGCGCTAAGGCGAGAGCCACTTTTTGAAAACGACCGCCGTCAAGCTGTGAAATTGTTGCACTTGTTTAAAACAAATGTGCGCGACGCGAAGGCGAGATCCACATTTTGAAAACGACCCGACCTCAATCCGTGACATTCTTGCACTTGTTTAAACAGAGTGTGCGTGGCGCTAATGCGAGAGCCACATTTTGAGAACCACCCGCCCTCCATCCGTGAATCTCTTGCAACATTTGAAGGCGAATGTGCGCGACCCCGAGGCGAGAGCTACGTTGTCAAAACGACCCGCCTTCAATCCGTGATATGCTTGCAAATGTTTATGCGCGCGGCGCCAATGCGAGAGCCGCAGCTTCAACAAACACACCCGCCCTAAATGTGTGAAACTGTTGCCAATGTTTAAGCATCAGGATCTCGGCGAGAGCCACATTTTGAAAACCATCCGCCCTCAATTCGTGAAGCGTTTAATTTTTGCGAAAACGAACGCGTGCGGCGCGAAGGCGAGAGCCACATGTCGAAAATCATCTGCCCTCAATCTGTGAAGCTCTTGCAATATTAACGAATGCGCGCGGCGCTAAGACGAGAGCCACATTTTTGAAAACGATCCGCCCTTCACCCGTGAAAATCTTGCACGTATCTCAAATAAGTGTGCGCAGCGTTGCGGCGAGAGCCACATTTTAAAAGCGACCCGCCCTCCATCTGCGAAACTGCTGCCAGCTTCTAAGCTTGAGGCTCATAAATGGTGAGGAAGACTCATGCGAAACACCCGGCCCGCATTTTCGACCGGCTTCGGGGTGCGACAGGGAGGAGTTATTCACAATTGGAGGGGGAGGGGAAGGGAGAGGGGAGGAGGAGGAGGAGGAGGAGGAGGAGGAGGAGGAGGGGAGGAGGAGGAGGAGGAGGAGGAGACAAGGAGAAGGAGGAGGAGGAGAAGGAGGGGGTGGAGGAGGAGGAGGAGGAGGAGTAGGACGAGGAGGAGGAGGAGGAGGAGGAGGAGGAGGAACGGCCGGTGGAGGAGGAAGAGGAGGAGGAGCAAGCAGAAGAGGTGATCGAGTTGGTGAAGGAGGCGGCCTTCCTCTTCTCTTGTTCTGCATTGGCCATGGTCGTGCAGGGTCTGTGTCGCAGTCTCGCAGGAGGAGTAGGAGGAGGAGAAGAAAGCGGAAGGAGTAGGAGGAGGAGGAGGAGGAGGAGGAGTGATGATGATGATGATGATGATGATGATGGTGATGATGACGATGATGATGGTGGTGATGATGATGATGTCGATGTTGATGTTGATGTTGATGTTGATGTTGATATTGTTGTGGTGTTGCGGCTGATGGTGATGGCCATGGTTATAATGATGAGTTTGATGATGATGCTTATGATGATGGTGACGAGGATGAGGATGGTGATGA